TGGCTGTTCAGCATTTTCAATTATCTTTTAGAATAAATGATTCTTCACATACTCAAAAGTTAACAATTTACTTTCCCTGAGAATTTCCCAGAATATTTTAAAGGATATGCTTTATCTCAGGAAGGTTATTTGGTTGGGGTTGAGATAAATATTTAAGAAAATTGCATAGAGGAAATAAAAAAGAAATTTCCATAACCATGCTGCAGTCAAACATATCCCATATATAATGAAGCCACATTAGTAAAAGATTTCCTTTCAAACAGAGATGCCAATACTGGCCACTCTTCATCTTACACATGCAAAAATGTTTTTGTGATTTCTGGTGCATCAGCCTTAACCAGCATTTCTGGGCACTGGCTCCAGGTGAAGGTCCTGGGCTAGCTGTCTTCCTGAAGAGGGATGAGAATACACATACACACACACATGCATACGCTCACACACTCACAGTAGTTGTGAATCTGCAAGGGAGATAAATACCACCTTGACAGCAACCTGGTGGGTTGGAGCAACTTAGGGAAAGGACAGGCATCTAGGAACAGGAGGCTCAAACAGGGCCCATCATCTAAGAGGGGCACCTAGAATCCTTGTAAAGGACTGCAGAGAGTACTTGGTCCCCAACCTGAATGCTATAGCTGAGGGAAAAAAAAAGTCCAAAGAAATTAAGAGACCTGCCTACGACCTGTACCCACTCGTGGCAGCACCATAACTAGAACTCTCGGGTCCTGAACTAGAACTAGAACTAGAACTGGAACTCTATCCTGGTATTCTTTCCTGCCTGTACTTCTCAGAAATGGCTGAATCATCTATTTTCCTTCCCTACCCATATCTACCAGGGCCAAGTAAGGAGAGTCTGGAGGACATTAACATGTCTTTCACTTATAAAACTGACATTCTGGTTGAGGTGATAAGGAGGACTCAGCCTTCTCTTGTCTTAACTGCGCCGGGTCAAGGCTGCTTTGGCATGTCTGCCCTCTGGATGGACAGTCACTGGCTACGTGCTAACGTACCTGGAGATAAAAACCTACCTTCACAAATTCATAAAAGCAAATGTTTTGAATACCAAATTATATTTAGTTGCTGAAAAAAGCAACATGGATTCGCACTGTGATTTGGAAGCTTTAGGAACCCCTTTTCTGCAGAATAAGTTGGGCATTTAAACAAACCCTTTCGAGCCCTCAAGCTCTGCTCTATATGCAAGTCTCCCATGACAAAAAGCCCCCAGCAATCTGACAACAGTACATCTCTTTTTCATGATCAAAGACTACTGTGTCAATATTTACAGAGATGAACTTACTTTGAAAATAATTTCACAATGGAACCACGTTACCGAATACACAGGTATGTATGAATGTATGTATGTATGTATGTATGTATTTTAAAAGTTCAATAAAAAGCTCAAGAAGTGAACAGGCCCTCTCAGACGCGAGGGTTTTCTGTGCTCATACAGCACGCCCACACTTCTTGAACATACCATTTCACAAATGCTGTGTATTATTAAGAGGAGGCGGATTCTGCCAGGCACATAATTTGTATATTTAAGGGAGGTGTATGGAATGAAAAAGCGAAATATGTTAAATTTCAAAGGACTTGGAAGCAATGCTGCCTGTGAGCTTGTGTTACAAATAGCCCTACATTATTACATACGCTATTAATGAGGCTGAGTGAATGAAAGTACAATTTGAATATGCATGACTCTACCCAATGAGCAGGACTTTTGTGTACTGATGAGGTTTTTTTTTTCCCCCCTCCTAAAAAAGGATTAAAATTATTCTTAGAGAAGTATGGCTGCCCAGAGACCAGTAAAATAAATTTACTTAGACCAGAGTCATACTATATTCAGATGAAATATACAGGTGCTAAAAGAATGCCTTTAATCTACCTACAATTCGTGGAACTTGTGCATAATTCTGTCTTCCTCCAAAGGAATATTCCTCAACTTCAAGCAGCTGCGTCAATACAATTTCTAAGCAAAAATAATGATTTTGGTGGAGATCCCTAAAAGTAGGCAAGGTTAAATAAACCTTTTGAGTACAAAGCCTTTACTTCCACAGTGAGGAGCACTAGTTAAAAGACTGGGGAATGGGTAAATTATTGCACCAAATGGCTGAGAATTAATCTCTGCTGACTAGCTGTAATCTAACGAGGCGTCTGTGTCCCAGGGAGCCCGCAGCATGTCCCTGGCGGTATGTGCAGTGTGTCGAGTCTGCGTGGCACCCTTTGTCCTCGCTCACAGGCGGCCTTTCCCCTCATTGTCCATAATATCCTCATGCATCTGGGACGCGTGGAATGCATTCATACTAACAGACTTACCATTGTTTTCTCTCAGAAGCTTTGTTGAGCAAAGACTGCATCACGGTTACTGATAATTATATTGCTTAATTAATCAAGACAAAAAAAATTTGCAAATCATTGCCTGGTTGCCAAGCAGGGAGATAAAAAATGACAACAATACAAGCTGAAGCAATATAACAAAAGTAACAGCTATCTGATCAGAAATTCTTATATAATGAAGCTATTAATGCTAAATCGGTTAATGTTAACATTGCTCCAGGTGTCTCTACTTAGATGCAAACAAAAAGGCTAACATTATGGATATAAAAGGCCAAATGTTGCCATGGATTCTGTAACCTGATAGAGAGGACAGCCTTTTCATTTGATTAGGGAATGCAATTTAAATACCAGGGACTGAAGCCAAACAAACAGACTTTCCCTCCACAAGCCTCTTGCATTCACCCTGGGGTCAGTGGTTGGTGAACAAAAGGTCAGCCACACTTGCCCTGGAAATGTCTGGATTAATTTTATTACATTGTAATGGTTTGTACTTTAAATGTGGGGATAACACGAAATTTCCAGTTGGCTATTATTCTCTTCTTCCCTAAAGGGAAGGCTTTTGGATTGAAATATTCAGACAGTGATTTGCTCAATTCACCTCGTCAAAATTTATGACCAAATTTGTAAAACTTACATACATTTTCTAAAGAACTTTTGAAAAGGTACGTTAATACTTGTTTTCATGTGTTAGAAGTGTAATACCTTTTTAAAAAACCACTTTTTAAGAAAGTTAAAAGTGTGTCCCTTTTGACACTGTGAAGTGAATTGAAATACCTTTTATGTTCTTTATTTGCCACAAAAAATAATGGTGACATTTTTAGGATAGTAAGTGACATTTTAGAGGACCATGTTGAAAACGAACTAATAAAGCCAGTTAATCCATACTAAATAATAAAGAATCACATTTTGCATATTTGGAAGCTATAGGACACTAAATCTGTTGGTTGTCTAATATCAACATTTTCAGTTTAATTCTTAAAGTTAGTGTTCTTCCCAGACAAACACAAACATTATTAGTACTCAGAGCCATTTTCTTATACAAGAGTGAAAACTTTATACAAAAAGACATGAATCAAAGATAACACAAATATTTAGTGTGAAGAACTTGTGGCATCTTCACTCCCTGAATAGAAAAGAGGGTTCCCTTTATGTCAGGCTTTTCACCAGCCAGAGTGGGGCTTTTCTGAATTCAGGAGGTGACCCACACTGTGTCTAGTCCGAGAAATGATTTATTATTTATTCTATTTTCATAGTAGTGACTATAACTGAAAAATTACCAGCAATGGTAATAACAACAGCAGCAATTAACACTTAAACGGCTTTTATTCTGAGTCAGCCACTGTTTGAAGCACCTTTCACTTTTTTTTAATTTAATTTACTTTTATTTTTTACACTGTTCCAAAATTCTTTGTTTATGGACCACACCCAGTGCTCCATGGAATACATGCATAATACCTCCAAAATACCAACTACCTTTCACTTCTTAGCTCATTTAATCTGCATGACTTTAACACTTTTGATTATGCTATAAATCCCAGGAAATCTCAGTTACCTATTATTTTAAAGATCAAAATACAGAGTATGTAGAATGATAACTTTTAGTTCCTTCAAGAGAACAATTTGAAATGAAAATGAAGATCACACTTAATACCAACCTGGAGCACCAAGTCATTTTCTTGAGAAGTGACTTAACTATGCTAAATGTTTAATTAAAAATGTAAAAGCAGGGGCGCCTGGGTGGCTCAGTGGGTTAAAGCCTCTGCCTTCGGCTCAAGTCTTGATTCCAGGGTCCTGGGATCGAGCCCCACATCCAGCTCTCTGCTCAATGGGGAGCCTGCTTCCCTTCCTCTCTCTCTGCCTGCCTCTCTGCCTACTTGTAATCCCTGTCTGTCAAATAAATAAATAAAATCTTTAAAAAAAATGTAAAAGCAAACCCTTCTATTAATAATTCCAACACAAAAACAAATCCCTATGTAAAGCACCACTAAAATACCACTAAAGGCATGGCAAGGATCGAAAGTGCAGCCAACTGAGTACACAGCACATAACCATTGGATTGTTCCAGCCATTCCCATGATCAATACCAGTTGATGTGGCTACATTAATTCTGTGGCAAGGTGCTTCAATTGTTAAAAATCATCACATGGGCGGGCTGTGCTGCAGAGGCCTAGCTTTCTTCACGGCCATGCTCGCAATCCTTCAGGATTGACCCCCATTAACAGCAGTCAGAGGCTTGGTGAGCAGTGCCTGTCTGTCATGAAAGGTCGAATTCTACACCCACAGCCATCCACAAAATGCTAGATGTGACATGGGGCTCATTCAACTCTTATTATTATTAATCAATATGTCCCAAATTTAAAATTACCGTTTTTTAAAATTAAAAAAAAAATTAAATTCAAAAGATTTAAAATACCTTAAATATCTTCAAACTGTAATTCCCAAAGAGTCTAGACATAAAAATACAGAATTCTGTGCTCCTGAGGAAAGATACTCTAAAAATCCCAATTCATACTGAATTTCCATATGGCAGTTGTAATTCAGATATATGTGAGACATTCACCAGTTGGAAAAAAGTCCCCTTTAACATATTTATATCATTGTTTTTCAAAAACAGTGAATCATATGGTAAATGCTATATGAGTCAGAGTGATAATGTGGTGAAAACGTACCTCGGGTTTCTTCGTAATCGCGATAAAGAACATGTGATTCTTCACTGGGTAAATAATGATTGAAACGTCTCCGAAGGCGGTCGGGATAATTCCCCTGCGGTAGTCCCTGGAGTGTTCAGACCAGACGATGTGGACCTCGTCATTCCCCAAGTGACGGAGCTGCAATGGGCAATTGGCTCTTTATTAATCAGAGTGATAACAGCAATTTATGAGGGGTCATGGCTTACAAATTGAATTATAATACTCAGAGGCAAAAATATTTCACTACTAAAAAAAGGTACGATGCCACTGTCTTCTATGACGATTTGAAAAAAAGACAAACACGTGAAAATACCACTTACTTTCTATGGAAATACACTGGCACTGAGATGATGCGTATAAGCATGGCAGGTACATTATTGCTAGAAGTGGATGAGACCTTTTCAAGGATTTTTTAAAATTGAATTTTACTCCTGTATTAAAGCCTTATGCTTTATATTGCTGAGCATGTCTCCAAACAATTAACGACATGAGCCTTTCATTCCATATTACAATAGAGCTTCATAAAACTCTAAATTCAATGGTTATTAAGAAAAAATATGAATATGAGACCAAAAGCTACTATAACACAATTGTTACCAAATGTATAAAAACTCGATTTGTGACAAAGCTTTAAGAAAAAGTACATATAAAATTACCTTTAAGAATTACTTAAATTTAATAACAACAATAGTAACTAGCTTTCAGAGAGTGTGTCTTACTCTCCAGAAAGTATGTCCACATGTATTGGTTTGTTAAATCTTCCTACTAACTCTCTGAGGCAAATGATATCATCTTTGTGCTATTTGACAGGGAAGAGATGGGGCTCAGAAAGAGAAAGGCACCACCTGACAAGGTGTGCAAATAGCAAGAAGCAGAGCAGGCCTGGAAATCTGGGCTAGTGCCTCTAACTTAGTGCCATTTCTACTGCTCACAGCCATCAAAGTCGACAACAAAAGCCAGTTGTACCGTCACTGCTCAAATAGCGTACCCTGCTTTTTTGGGTCATTTTATAGACAAAGAGGCCATAAAATCCAAAAACAAGTCAGCGACCCCCAGGAGCTCTGAGGAGGGCTTAGCATGCCTCCAAGGAAGAGACTCTTTGAGACTTCTTCCTGGGCTGAGCTCTTTGGCCACAAGAACACCCTGTGTACTGACTGTGAATCCTGGGCTGGAGAAGGCCCTGCATGAAATTGTCTGATAAGCCTGAGACTGTGACTAAACAAACTAGATTATAAAGATTAAAATGTTGGCCAAAATTGAAGTTCTACAACCAGAAAGGCTGACTGGTGAAGGCCTCTGACTCCTACTGAAAGTCTGAGGTTTGGTTCTCTCACATGCTGCAGAAGAATGCTATCTACCATCACTTGGGGAAGCATTTCTTGCTTCCTAGCTTATTTAATAGATGAACCCCAATAATGACTAAATTCAGAGGCACTATTAATAAAATAGCGATGCTGCACCAAAGGTAATGTAGTTTTGTATTAAAATTAAAAAAAAACAAAAAAGATGCTCTGGAGTACCATGTATTTAAAACACATTAGTATAAAGCAAATTTTCCTTACACACTATTTGACCACAAAAGAAAACTGTGAGATGACCCCAACATGGCCTCTTTTCCATTTACAAGGTTACAAAGGAAGTTGGTTTGCTGCAATGCTTTCCTGCTCTTCACTCTTCCGTGCTTCTGGGAATGACTATTTGAGTCAATTTTTAAAAACTGACCTTTGTACTACAGTGAGGTACAGGTGCAATTACAGGTAACCCCTATGAGAGGGGCACGTGATTCAGCTGTGTCTGAGCTTGGGCCCTGGGATAAACACAACTGTGGGTGTTGAGCACAAGTCCTGATGATCTAGAACAATTTAACAGCATCTACAACTTTCTAAATGTAAAGTTACCCAGTATATCTTTCTTCTTCTTCCCCCATCACATATAAAGGCGAAAAGGGTAGCAGGCAAAAGGTACAGTCAAGCCATCGCCACCCATAAATAGTTAAAAGAAAAAGAAAGACACCAAATTCTCATAGCAAGACTGAATGTCTCTCTATATTCCTCTATTTCCACCTCTCTTTCTTTTCTCTTTCTTTTTTAATAAAACATGCCAGGATCTTGCAACACACTCCTGAAATTCATTCGTTTTGGAGTGAAAACATAGCATTACCAGCAACACAATAAAGGCAGGTTTTCAAGGGAAATAGGAATTGTATCAAATTGAAACGTTGTGGGGGTGGGAGGTGGGGTGGGGGGAATTTAGCCTAGCAGAAGAAAATTGTGACAGTACGGCTGCCATCACCCTGTCAAGAGAGGCAAACTGCCAGGTGGTTTTGTTGTGCCCCTTGACATAATGCCGGCACAAGAGTCGCAATGGGAACAACACACCTACTAAACACCCTTCAAATGTGGGGCTACCACCTAATGCCAGCACCCTAAAACCTGTGATGGCTCCTTTCAACCCAGAAGCATAAGTTGCTCAAGGCATTTGCTCTGAGGTAATACAGTGATTACTGAAATTTCCAGTTACTTTCCCTTTCCTCAATTAGGTTCCTCAATTATATAATCCACATAAGTCTCTCCTAATTCTGTTTGGGCTGTGTTCTCAGAACCATAGCAAGGGAGAATAGTATCACACTGACAGACCTGTCCTCCCAGTGTGGCATTTCTTTAATTAAGGAAAAGCTATTTCTGTGTGGTAATAATACAATTTTCATCATCTCAAAGCTGCTTTCAATATCATGTGCTCCAGATCTCTGGACAAGTCACAGTTTAATTGGCTAACTCACAAAACTAAGAGCTAAGGCCACAGGACCCACTGACTAGTAGATCTGAGCAAAGAGCAAAAACATGCCCTCTTCTGCCTCAGACAAGAACACAGGCAGGTGAAACAAGTAAGCTAACCCAGCCGTGTCAGAATAGGAAGGAATACTCTGGAAGCTTCAATGTGTTGGTCAATGTAAAGGGGATTTCACGACAGAGATGTCATTTTGTGAGTTCTGGAGAATTCTGAACAGAGGGCCCCCTATCTAAAATCCACCAGTGAGTCTGTTGCGTGCGCACAAGCGAAGCTGGTATGACTCATGTGTATTCTGGGAGAGACTGATGAGTCTCGTCCTGGGACGGAGCTGTCACTCATGCCCACTACTGCTTCAGTTGCACAACAGGCTCCAGAATGCACGGATGCTTAACAGGCTCAGAACAAATGCTCGCTTCTTCAGTCTTAAGAAATCAACCCCATGTCCTGCCACTTCTTGTCCTGACAGAGTTTCAAAGTCCCTCCGCCTGGGCCATTCTGCCTGCTGCTGCCAGGCGGCACGCACTGGTGACACTGGTCATGGTACACACCTAATAGGCTGACCTCCTTTCCCGACTAATTGCATTACATCGCCAGCTGGCTCCAGAAGGAGTCGTCTGTTTGATTGAAGAATTCCTGCTCTCAGTAGGCCCGGCTGCTACTTTTACTAAGTAACAGTCAGGCCTGACATCCCCATTGTTCAGCTGACAGTGTGCCCATCCTAAAATCTAAGTTTTATTTGTAAATTAACCAAGAAACTTCCTGCCAGAACAGTGCTGCCTGGAGACTGATAATGTGGGTCTTTCATCCCTTTTCACTCGTACTGTATCACTGCCAATTTGTTTTTTATGCGGCTGGCCAGCCTGAGGCTAGAGAAGCCTTGTAAGACATAAGTGCAATTATCGTCCTGGAGTCAAATGAATTGGACAAATCCAATAGCACAGCTCTGTCCCCACTCTGCAAAGCCCTACAGCAGTTAGATTAGCTGTGAAAAATCTAATCTAGCTAGAGCTAACAAATTTCTGCAGCGAAGCATCAAGAGTTCAGTATGGGGTTGCAACCGGATTGTGGAAGTGAAAAAGTGCCCCCATGACAGGGGCAGAAGAGAGCATGAATCACTTGAGAATTTTGCAGCTCATTTTTAAGCTGTTAGGGACAATTTAGTTAGACTAAGACAAGGAACTGTGGGCTGCTGTTACTGTGACGGATTTTTAGTCTGGCTGTGAGACATCCTGATGAAGAGAGTTTGTCTCTAATGATGCTAAATCTCAGAGCTGCAAAAGGTATCAGCTGAATTTTGATTATTACAGTAGGGAATCTTTCAACCAGGCCAAGCCTTGCAACATTATTTATGGCAAGGCGTTTTATCAAGAAAACATGATGTCTTTTCGCGAAAGAAAAAAAAAAAAAGAAGAGAAAAAGGAAGAGAGGAAAAAAATAAAAGAATCCTACCTACGAAATAATTTAAAAAAAATATTTTAAATAAACCTATTAACAAAATAGTTCTCAGTCATAAAAAAGTCATAGAATATGGCAACACATTTGCGGATTAGCAGCAATTTACAAGGCACTGCAAGTATAAAGGATATGGAAGCCCTGCCTAAGGTCCTGGTAATCTGAAACAGAGCAGGGTCCCCCCTTCAATAAGAATATCGCCACCAGGGTGGCCATTAAAACCTAAGACATGGAGGCAGCTCCTCCATGCCTGAGGGAGGCAGCACATGGCCGTCGTGCTCTGCACATCCCAGACACTAAGTCACTGTGAATGTTGTCTGTGATTGTGCTGTGACCCAAGTTCTGAGGTTTTATGAATACCACCGCCCACGATATAGGTGGTCTAGACATCTGGAGCTGTAGTGATGAAAAAGCAAAACTGCAGAGAGAAGAGATGAGGTGGTAACAGTGGGGCCCATTGGCCAATATCAGTCACTCCTAATGCGGCAAGAGAAAAAAGATTCAATTAGACCAATGGGCAATGACGAGGGCTGATGTTAGAGATCCTACACCAGGCACCATGCTAAGCAGTTGTATGAGCATTATCCATTACTTCGCAACAACCCTGTAACTGTTTTCAATCTCGTTTAGTAGATGGGGAAACTGAGGCATGGACTACTAACAGTTGAGCTCACATCTGCCTGTCTTTAGAACCTGGCTATAACCACCACACTTAATCCTTTAATGGATTTTTTAGTTCCTGAATGAGCTATTTTCCCATCCACTGAGGTGCTGCTGTAGTTTTCTTGCATCCTTGTAGGAAGTGAGTGGGTGTGAGGTAGGGATTCCAGGCTCACTCTGCCACCCACTAGAGCAGGCTAGCTGCCGTTTCATCTGGAAACTCAGAGAAATGGGTCAGACTTCTAGGCTTCTTTTCCAGACTAGGATTCCTCTTCTTTTAAGGTGCTCCTCACCTCTAATAGAGGGTCGCCTGAAGTAAACATCTTGCAGGTTTGAAAGTTCAGGGCCATGTACCCCTGGGGAGTTCCTCAGAGATGGAGGACGTTTCCTCTCAATTCTAGAGAAAACTGCCTCCTGGGCCCAAGTTGGAAGAGAAACAAGGTCAGTGCCAAAGGTGGGACCCCTAGGCAGGAGCACACCTGTACTTGTGATTTTCACAGATACTGCCCAATTGCCCCCAGCAAGACTGGGAGGTGCCTACTTTCTCGGCAATCTGTCAGGACAGAGTCCTTGCATCTTAAGACCTTTGCCAACCTGAGAGGTCAACAATGCTATTTTCTGTCAGTTAACAGTCAGATGAAGGAAGATCCAAAATTAACAACATTTAAGAACCTTCCTTTTCCTATATCTTAATCTCAGGATTTAAGACTCAAACTTTTCACTTACTTCTTTGTCTAGTTTTGCCAAGTTAGATATTTCAGATTAATTACAACTGTAGCTTGAGAAGAAATACACTGAAATTGCACCCAGAGGAAATCAGTCTTGGTGCATGTCATGCCAAGGGCTTTGACTGGACTACAAGAGTCTTACCTATAAACCATGGTAGCTAAGAATGGTCCTCAATCCTCAAAGAGGCTTCTTACCTTTTTGGTGAGTGAATCATCTGAGTCTGATGGCATCCGAGTTGAAACGTGGAAAATCACTTCCACAGTCGAGGTAGCATAGTAAGGGGCAGTCTGCCCTGTGCTGCCATTGCGCTGAAGTCCGCCCATGAACCCACAGTGGGTTGAGAGATCCACCTGACGCAGGTAACAAAGAGGGAAGAGTGAGGGTCAACCCTAAATTGTCCTCATTCACCAAGCAAAAATGTCCTTTCTTTTAAAGAAATATAATTATTTTCACTTTGATTTTTGATAACAAACAAATATAATACCAAATTAGACAAAATCAAAACATTAAAGAAACCTTCACAATGGGGATGCCTAGGTAGCTCAGCTGTTTAAGCCACTGCCTTCAGCTCAGGTCATGATCACGGAGTCCTGGGATAGAGCCCTGTATTGGGTTTCCCCTGCTTTGCAGGAAGCCTGCTTCTCCCTCTACCTCTGCTTCTCCCCCTGCTTGTGTTCTCTCCTTCTCTATGTCAAATAAATGAATAATATCTTAAAAAAAAAAAAAAAAAAAGAAACCGTTACAATGAAAGTGCTCCAAAATCCTATCAACCTAAGAAAGGCACCATCACAAATTTGATGCACATTTCTCTAGCTTTTTTCCATCTTATACATACAAACATATGAATACGTGTGTATGTATGTGTATTTATATGTGTTTATGTACACACACATACACACACACAGAGTTTCCCTATTGATGGATTTGTGGGATTTTCTGCTTTCTCAAACAGTGCTGGTATGATCAAATCACAAGGAGCATTCAAAGGAATGTTTTGGTAGGATGTTTTATCAAAGATTACAAATGTTTTAAAATTTTAAAAGCCACGGGGCACCTGGGTGGCTCAGGTCATGAGCCCAGAGTCCTGGGATTGAGGCTCACATCAGGCTCTCTGCTCAGCAGGGAGCCTGCTTCCTCCTCTCTCTCCGCCTGCCTCTCTGCCTAAATAAATATATAAAATCTTAAAAAAAAAAAAATTAACAGCCATTGCTAAACTATGCTTCAAAGGGGTTGTTTTGATTTATACCACTACTACAAGTCTGGGAGTTATCATTCTTTTATTATTATTATTCTTTTTCAAGTTACGGTGTGAATAATCACTTCTTAGTCATTGCCTAGGACCCACACCCTCTTTATTAAATTTAACTTTTCATGAACTAGTATTCTTTCAGTAAAGCATCTGTTGTAATACAACTGAAAAAAAAGCAATAGAAGGATCTCTTCTGTGCCAAATATGATCAATATATACACTAAATTAATGTTCTAGTCTTTTCTTAAAACTCCAGTTAAGAATGTGTTGGTTTAAAAAGTATATTGGTTAAAATGATAAAGTATATTCTACAATAAATAAAAAGTCACTTCATTAGTAAGAAGGACAACTTATTGGAGTACAGTTAACTCTTTCAGACTAAAATCTACTTGACATTTTATAAAGTACATGGTCTTAACCTTGATGTAGGGTTCTCCTGTCCCCATCTTCATATCAGCTTCCTTGTTAACATTTAACTCTCAGACACAAGTCTTATTTATGTATCTAGAAAGTTTCCCACAGCACAGATAACCAAGAAACCAAAACAAAAGTAAGGAAAAGTAAGGAAACTATTTCAGATATGGTGATTTCCATTATAACTACTCTGAGTTCTTTTGGATTCTGGAGATGTAATTTCCTTTAGATTTATGTTCCAAGAGACAGATAGGTGTGTGTGCAGGCACACTTGCGTATAAATGTATATGTCTGTCTGTCAGACTATTATTCAGCAGAGAAAAAGTGAATTCTTTCAGTATCAGTCATCCTGGGATCTCCCTTAGGGAAAGAGGTTGGCTGAAAAACCATAATGGCTACTCTATTCAATTTTCATGACAATTTTTGACTTCATCCAGCTCTTTCTTCATATTTTTCACCCACCAAGTCACTTTTTTCTTCTCCAATCTCCATACTGCAGCTAAAACCAATGCTTCTCTGCCCATATTTATCTTCTCTTCCCATATACTGTCTATGGCTGGGTGAGTCGATTTGACTACTCGGTTTGGAGAAAAAGCAGATGAAATAACATTAAAGGAAAAGTTAAGGGAAACAAAAGTTCATGTATGAAGTACTGAAAAGCAACTAACAGAAGATGCCAAATTCAATACATTCATCAACTCTATAACACTATCTGTACTAGATTTGAATGTAAAACCTTGTATGATTGATGTTCAGTTTATATACATCCTTAAATAGTACTGGTCAATAAATAGCTCCCAAATGAAATGAATTACCTCCCATCCAAGTCCGGCAACAAAGTCTTCATATGCTTGGCTTCCTCTTTCATTGGAGAGGATTGAACACTTGTCTTCTTGACCTTCAGCAATGTAAAACACCGCAATTTTGTGCGTTTCACGGCTATAAATTTTTCAATTTAAAGGAGTTAGAATTCTCATATTTAAAATTTTATTTCACCGCAGCTACCAGCGTGACTCCTAATACAGAGCTTTACATTTACGGAGAATTTACTAGGGGTCAGTCACTGTTCTGACAAGGTTCGACACATGGTCTCATTCACTCTTTGCAAACACTCTAAAGAGACAATTATCATCACTTCCGTTGTAGAGGTGGTTGAAAGGAGGCACAGAAAATTAAACAAAAAGCACACAGCAAGTGGGAGGCCAGGAATTGAAGCAGGGCAATATGGTTCTTGAGATCACTCTCAGAACATGTGACATATTTAACAGCATGTTAGAACACATTATTGGACAAACTCTCTACATTTTTGGTGTAAAAAAAAATATATGTGAAAGCGTTTCACATAGATACCAGTTGAGACTAGGTCTATGTGACTGCCTGTATTTCACTTAACACACTTTGAAAAAAGGATACTAGATAGCTCCCTGACTGGAACTGTACCATTCATCCACTTCCTCCATGATGGATTTTGGGTGCTTTGCTGTTAAATCAAGTTAACATGATCTGTACTCTGAGGACAGGAGTCCTGCCTTTTTGCCTTTTGTATATGTACCCTGGTCCTTGGCATATAATAGCTGCTCAGTTAAATCTCTGTTGACAAGAGACCCGATGCTATATATAAATAGATCAATAACCAATTTCTACAAATTATACCCTAAAGTGTCGAAATAACTAGACTTTTTTACCTGGCAATTTGGTGATAGTTTAGAGATGAAGGCACTGTGCTAATTCAGAGCTTTCATCAAGAACCACTCATTCTGTGGCCCCATCATCCAAGTTTTATTCAAGTCTCTATTTTTTTAAATTTTGGATTATCGCCAGCAGAGTTCTACCTTCCTTATTATTTTTGCATTGCATCCTGAAAAATCTCATAGGAAAAACCACCAAGTGTCAAACATAAAGAAATGTTTCTACAGTCTTAATTGTTCAACATCTTAGCATTGTAATCTGATTAGACACCTATACTAGTAGAATTTGGGCTCTATATTTTAACATATTTGCAAATATTTCCTTCCGTAGGACTTATGTTTTTACTTAATAAGCAGAATGAAATGAAACTGAACTAAAAAGTCATAAAAATAAGTCAAGGATTCATTTCTCCCATAGTTCATGAGTAAAATTAGAAAATACAGAAAGGAAAGAGAAGAATAAAAATTCACTTATGCTCTTTGCTTCTATGTTGAAATTGCAACTGTTAGGATTTTAAGATGCATTTTCATATGCAAAAGTGAGAAGTTACTACACCTTGTTTTGCAACTGATAATTTTAACTTAAAATATTTGTGAACACTTTTTTTACTGTATAAAATATGCATAACATAAAAGTCACCATGTAAACCATTTTTGAGTGGGAACACTTTTATACCATGTGTTTGTATGACAAAGTTATTAATGGTTGTGTAACGTTCCAGTATATGAATACACCTTATCCCAAATCCTTATCATTGGACCTTTAAGTTGCTTCCAGTTTTAAAGACACTATAACATTATCTTTGATATGTCCTTTGAATACATTCATAGAAAAAGAATCTTGGTCATTGCCTACTTTTAAGGCTTTTGATGAGCGCTATCCTGCTACCTCTGGAGAAAGTGGACATCCTGAATGCTCTGACTGGCATGGCACAAGCACACAGTTGGGGGCGCCTCTCTTAATGCGAACCTACCACTGCTGCGAGAAGAGGGAGGTTTTGTGGTGACTGATCCAGGGGACTGATGCTCTAGAGTAGAGACCACGTGCTCTCAGACTGTCAGAAAGCTTGTCCTCATGCAGTACAGAGCCCTGAAACTACCACACCATTTATTCCCTGAGTGACAGGCAGGACACACCCACTAGAATCTGACTAGCTTATTCTCAGAGCTATAATCATTTGGGGGCTCAGATGATGACAGAGATCATGACTTATGACCTGAAAGACTGTCTTTTTCAACAAAAGGAAAAAAAGTATAGTCACTCAATTCCTTTCTGTAACTCTCTCTGTATATTCAAAAGTCCTCAGCATGTGATTATTCTCTGTTCTATACATATAACAAGACCATCTCAGGTTTATCTGAAACATTTTTGTTGACTCTCCTCAAAGTCCAAGCTTTTTATCTTGTAGTTGCTTGCAGGTCCTCGAGTCCTCATTAACTCAACATGGGAGCACAAGAGCTAAGCCCCAGTGACTGCCTGACTGATGTAGGTATAAGGAAAGGTGACCTTTAGCTGTAAACATTCATCAAATTTCACATCCTCCAAAATGTTAGCACCACAGAGAGCCTGCCAGGATCAGACGCTGTGTCTGGTCTTATTAGAGCCAGGCTTTTGAAATGATAATTAGCAACAGCACTTCATATCCATAAGCTGCACCACCAATGCATGAAGGAGCAGGTAATTCAGGAACGCAGGCACATAAAATCAACATTTCCTCTTCCTCATTAGAATGCATTTTTTCTTTCTTATTAGGAATAGACCAAAATAGCTCAGTTTCCTTGTGCTGTCACATTACAAAGCCAAACAAAGAAAAAAAAAAACATGATTTTAACTTTCACTTTACCATGTGGTGACAAGAAGTATTAATATTTAAAAGAGGAGCCCACTGTAATTTGCATGTGCATTCATGACACCTTTTACATCTTCACTATCTTCACGGTATATAGATAATAGTTCCCACGCAGTCTCTACTTTTCCTAAGAACACGCTAAGCAGGAACTATGCCTTGACAGCAGGGAGATAAACTGGTATCAGAAATAAACACAGCCACCCTAACCAGAAGTTGAGGGACAAGGTATATTCTTACCTGTTAACTAACCAATACATGGGACTGTCTAGATTTCTCATACCTAGAGTCCCCAACTTATTTCCATTTTTTTTTTTCCAAAAAGAACCTCAAACACACCCTGTACTATTAACAAAGTAAACTGATACCTTTTTTTAGATATTAAGAAGATACTAAATCCAGGAGTTTGGATTTTAAGCAAAGGTTAATTAAGGGACAGAAGATTTGCTGATCAGCTCTCCAAAGCTATATTTTACTGCAACAGCACCCCAGGGAGCTCATCCAATTGTACCTCATGCAACTAAAGTGCATTAACACTCAAATTGGCCACAAATTAAAAGATACCGATGTATTCACTTAATACTAGGAAGCATGGAATAATTCAGCATATGCTTGAAAAGCTGAGTTTGGAGCCCAAGTGACTGCTTGTTTAATACTGGAGGACAAGAGGTACAGAGAAGTGAACCCCTGAGTCCTTCTCAAGAAACCCCTCACAGAGTTTCCACAGAGAATTTGGTCTCTATGCCTCTAGAGAAAAAGAAGCATAACAACAATTGGGAAACTGAATATGATGAAGGGCAATGTGAGGAATAATGGCTTCAGGTTTTTCATCTGTAATGAGATACCTAATGATATTCTATGGGGAATAAGAGAGGAACAAAAAGCTATTTTTTAGAAAATAAGTTTTTTAAAAACTAAAACTAAACAAGCAGTTTATTCAAGACTTTGAAGCACCTGTTATGTACAAAGCACTACACTTACTATTGCCTGAGATGTTTTTGGAAGCACACATTTCCCCCAAATCAAAAACTGGTCCTGAGTTCATCTGTAGAATTGCTTCTAAGATTGTACAGATAAGGAGCACACCTGAGATTTGACCAGCTTTGAGAAGAAGCCTCACTACTAGGAAATTACTAACTGAAACACACTGGTTTTAAGCTTACTCACATTATAGAGCAGAGACTGCAGCCAGTGCATTGGGACACAACCTGGGTTATGAAGTCAGACTTGCTGGTTCAAACAACATGGTTATGTGTGAGCACAGGTAGGTGTCTGAGCCTGGTAAGCCTCTGTTCCTCATTGGAGAAAGAGGAATTTAATCTCTACAGAAATTAAATGAGAATGAATGTCCACTGGCTGCCACATGAAAAGGTCCTCAACCAAAGACAGATTAGATGGGAGCAATGACTTCTTCTCAGCATAGTAAGCATGTAAGCTTACTCCTCAAGGGGGAAAACACCAAAGGTATGGCATGTGCAGATGTTACCAGATTCTGATTATAGAATGACCTTTGGGTGTCTCTGCAGGTGTATTCATTCCTGCAGCTCTGTCATCCAAGCACACATACTCATAGGCAGGAAGGAAGTAGAATGATATACTTTCACATACCACTGACGGGAGTCCAGATTTTTTAGCTCTCTCAATAGTTTGGAATTTTTCTTCAACAGATGGAAATTTTTTCTATTAAAAAAAGAGATGGAAGAAAAGATGTATAATCACAGATCAATTCTTCCCTTTCCAATCAATCAACAAACCTACCTACTATACCCATACCCTTCCTACTATACCTCTATACCCATCCATAACCCTCTTCATTCATGAAAGATTTATGATCTGAGCCCACAGAATGAGCTCCATTCTCCTTAAGACATTTGAAGGCATCAAAATTCCATGACACCCCATCACTATCCATTGACACTGGATGCTCGGAGGTGAATAAGTGTGTCACTGATGTGTGTGTGCCTGTCTGTGCCTTTTTTCACTATCAGCTCTGCTGTGAATCCCTTTTCCCCATCTCTATCCTTAGAAACCCCACTCCACTGTCAGGATCCAGTTCAAGACCAGCTCTTTCACAAAGCCTTCCCTTACCATCCCACACTTTGCACTGGATTAACTGTTCCTCTTGGACCCCCATGTCATGCTATCTTTCATCAGAGTTGTGCCAAGTCTACCTCCTTCACCAGACCTCAGGTGAGATGGTGGCTTATTCATCTTTGGAGTCCATTTGCATCTTTTGTGACAACAGAAGCAATAATGGACAGAGCAGTAATTAACACACACACACACAGTCACACAGAAAATGTCTGATACTCTTTAAAATATAAGAGATGTCTGAAATTCAGTATGTGCCTCAGTAGAGCACAATTAGTTCCACTTGTAGCTTTAACTTAGCAGCAGAAAATAGACTGTAAACGTAGAAAGAAAAATCTCCATTTCTATTCTCTGCTTCCCAAACCCAAACTGAGAACAAGAACAAACACACAAAAATAATGATAAAATAGGTGAAGGTCTAGAGAGGATTGTTACCTTCTGTCCCAAGAATTCATCCCCAAGTCATTGAGCAACAACCTGCAGAAATAAAAGGGTCCTCGTGGCTCTACTGGTGAGGGCTGCTCCTGGCTGGTGATCTTCATGGCTGAGTCAGAGTTACACCTCTGGATGTAGTTGTCTTCTTGGGCATTCTGGCGCAAAATGACCTCAGTGATTTCCTTCTCCTGGTCACGGTTCATTCCCCGTGGGGGTGGGGAGGGCTCATTTAGATTTAGCTGTGATGGTAAAAGGCATTCGGGACTTGTGTGGCCAATGTTTTCAAGTAATTTGTCGAGGACATCATCTCCCTCCTCAATTTGAGAAAAATCCTTCTGAGCTCCCAAAGCTTGAGGATGCCAGCCCGAAATCAGAAATGCAGGACTTCTACTGCTGGGTGCTAAGCAGCCTTCCAATGGTCCATACAAAACCTTCCCGTCCCAAGAGTACTTCCCTGAGATATCCCGCACGATTACTCTGACATCTGACAAGGCACCCCCCCGTGAGCCGCCTGCTGGCCCTTCTGAGGGTGTCTGAAGGTAGGAGATGAGGGTGCTGTCATTCAGCACAAAGAGCTGAAGGTTTGGGCTCCGGAACACCTCGGAAGACAGCTCGGGGGCCTCGGCGTGTGCATTGTCATGGTTCTCACTGACCAGGCTGTGTAGAACAGCGGGACCCCCACACAGCGGGAAGTGTCCCAGGTGGTTCACCAGGTGGGCCATCACCATGCGGGCAGTCAGGGGGATCAGCTCCAAACTCCTCCTTTTCCGCTCTGTGAGCCGGGATAAGGGAACATAGCAGACAATGGGAAAGGAAGGTCAAAATCTGTACTCGGAATGTTGGATTTGTTTTAGTCTGGGCATTTTTTTCATCTATTTTCTTTTTTGACACTAATTCTATGTGAATTAAAAGTACAATTTATATAGATTGCTAGAAATAAGTCAATCAGAGAAAGACAATTATCATATAAACTGATATGTGGAATAAGAAACAAGGCAGAAGATCGTAGGGGAAGAGAGGAAAAAATGAAACAAGACAAAACCAGACAGGGAGACAAACTATAAGAGACTCTTAATCTCAGGAAACAAACTGCAGGTGCTGGAGGGGAGGGGAGTGGGGGGGATGGGGTATCTGGGTGATGGACAATGGGGAGGGTATGTGCTATTGTGGAGTGATGGGTGTAAGACTGATGAATCACAGACCTGTACCCCTGAAATAAATAATACAATATATGTTCATTTTAAAAAATAAATAAACAAACAAGCAAATAAATACATTGCTAAAAGAACCAACTTCCATGAAGATCTCATTCTAGGGACACTTAAAAATCTGTAGATACAGCAATAAACCAGAGAATTTCCCTCTCCTGAAAGAGCTGATGGTTCAGGGAGTTCTGGGAGGTGCAACCTGCAGCTGGAGAGGATCTGGTGGGAAAGGTGGTGGGTTGGAGGTCTAGGTCACAGAGGTTACTCCACTACCTTCACCAGGGTAAAGGCAGATGATGATAAAATGAATCAAGCTTGTGATGTCGTGGATGGATTTGACGAAATCTGCTTTAAGATCTTGTGACAATTTATGTTTTGTTGCTTGGGCATTTTAAATATTTAATGGAATCTGATTCATTAATTAACTCACAGAAATAGAAGGTTTTAACTGAATTTGCAGTTGATGATTAAAGGCCTAAGAGCAAGTGACTTACAAAATGTTTAAGGCTTCAAAAGTGTAGGAAGACTGACATTAGAATGTGAAGGTGGGCTCTGTGAAATGCTGGAGGGGTAAAGGAAGAAGCAGAGAAAACAATTGGTAAGCATGGAGGGAAACAATCACTTAAGTTTCAGAGTGGTCAGAGAAATTGTAATTTGCCAAGGTTAGAAAAGAACTGTGTATTATCGAAGAACAACTGAAAATGAACTCTTCTAATTTCAATAAAAAATATCACTGGATATTTAAATAAGACTTGTACTTTGGGCTTAAAGGTTTAAGAAATACTTGGTTTCTAAAATCATAATAGAAAACTCCAATATTAATTAAACACAAATAACTCTAAATTATGCTTTCTGATGCTAAACAACTTCCTTCTCAGACATTAAAAATTCAATGAACTTATCTATGAAACATTAATTGTATGATGTATAAATCCTACCAAGAAACAATCAAATCCTAGAGTGTAGGAACCCCATTGTGATGACTGATGAACAAGATCGTCCTGACTTTTTCTTGAATTTCTTCTTAATTTTTGCTATTCAGTGAACAAGAAATCACTGTATGCAAGAATGCAAAATAAAATCTCACATGAAAACTTCAGTTTTCATAACCAAAGGTCATTTACATCCATCTCTGACAAATTCAACTGTCCTTCCTGACCCTTGTAGAAAAGTGTATGATTTCCATACAGCTGAGAAATTTAAACACCTCAACTAATTCCCCTGAAATCACAGTTATGAATGCCTTTGCTTTTGTGTCCATATTAACTTTTTCAAAAGTTACAGATGCTTTTTATTCATGCTTATCATTCCATATGAATATGTGCTCTGTCAGAAATGTTAATGCCCCAAACAACAAAGACATGGCCAGCTGGGGGTTCAGGAGGCTATGGTAACAGCGCATGGTGATAACTCGACAGAGCAGGCTACAGAACTGAGGACAAAGGTCCAATTTGGTAAAGCCCAACGCAGACAATTATAACTGGAAAAGCAACTTTCCTCTGCTTTTACTTACACAGGTTGTGCTTTCAATCTGAGATACATACAAATTTGTATTTTAAGGAATGTGTTTGAATTCTACAGTGGGAAATCAAGTGGAGTCACACTAATCAAGCCATAAACCATGACACACCCAATCAAAACTCCAAATATTTTTGGTATTGAAAAGTAAGGAAAGGGAGTATTTGTGAAGTAAAAATTGTTTTTTCCTGACAGACTTCAGCTGCATCTACTGCCTGTGGTTCCCTGAAAAATAAAGAGAAAACTAGACTCCATTCATGAGAAAATCTCATAGCTTCCACAAACCATGAAAAAATATCTAAATATTTATCTTATTTCGCTAAATTTAGAGATGAAACAGAAAGGCAGTAATTTTAGTTTTGTCTTTTAAATTTCAGTTTTTAAAGCTCCCCTCTTTCCTTCTTTTAAAAGCAATTAGGTATTAATGATGAGAAATTTGAGCACCTGTGTTTACCATCAGTGGCTTTTCCTTGAGCTGGGCCAGCAGGCACCTCAGCTGGAGACAACTGAATGTGTCTCTTGCTTGCAACTATTTGAAAGTAGTATTTATATCAAATAGTACATAATAGGGAATGAAAGAGTCACTTGAATATAATAGATAAAAATACAATATTGCTTCCCAGAAACATGAGAGAAAAAACAGTTTGGTTATGAATGATAAATTATGACACTGAATGAAAAAAAAAAACGCTCAAATACAAGCACATTTTTGTTTAACCTAAAATACTTCAGCTATCATCTTTGAATGTCTGTGCATGCCAATATGTTTTAAAGCTGCTTTGCTTTTTTATCTAGTTAAAGTGTTAGTGAATTTTAAAACTCCTCTGACACTGAAATTCAAACAGTTACTTTTAGTACCACAGAACTATGTTAGGACAAGCAGTTTGCACAAGGTTTGAGGTTTTCTGGAAAATAAAGTCCAAGAGTGTTGTACATTGAAAGCAAGGTGGTCCCAAAATTTAAATGTGCATTTTTAGGTTTTTCATTTTCCACTAACCTATCAATCTCCTGCTATTTTCAAGTGACAGTTCATAATATGTGGTAACCTCTTTTAGGGATAGCCATGTGGGATGAGTCTAAATTAATGCCTTTCAGAAAAAGAGAGCCACTTTCCTTCTAGGACACAAACTGCATGGTAGGAACCAACAAAAGAAATGGATCAAGGATCATTCTGATTATTTTTTAAAGATATGGCTTGAATTTATAATCAGGAAAATAGTACACTTTATTTTTAAAGATTTTATTTATTTATTTGACAGGCCCCTGGGATCTTGACCTGAGCCGAAGACAGACACTTAACAACGGAGCCACCTGTAAATAGTGGACTTTGAAAGAAGAGCGGAAGTCCAGAAAAGGCAACTAAATGATCAAGCAAATGGAGGCCAACTGAGATGACAATGTGAAAATGTGCCAGGTACCATCCACCACCATAACTAAAAGTCTTTAGTCTACTCTGTGGAAAAATTTCAGAGTAAATACTGTGATATTTCAGGAACTTGGTCATTATATCTTCAATTCAAATTTCACCTCCCTTACTTCTGACTTATGTACCTTTGGGAAAATCCCTTCACCTCAGTTGCTCATCTATAAAATCAGGACTGGACAGATTCCAGAGCCTTTGCCTCTGCATGGTGCCCCCACTCTTATCTTCTTCATTGTCACCTCGCCTGTCCCCTTTCTCTTGGCCTAAACCATACTCCAGATTCTACAGTCTTGCAAGCATAGCCCTGGACTCTGTGCCCTCACCTGGCTACTGTCCTTCCTTTCTCCACCACAGGCCCTACAAGAAGAATGTCTTGGGGTCCGAACAGTCAACCCCAAATCACTTGCTCAGGTTATCTGGCTAGTTAGTTACAGACTAACTGCCATGCCTAAAGTATTCAGCAAAGCTCATCACCAAATGCTTAGCTGGGAAATAAAAAAGCTCTTGTTTTGGCTTCACCCTCCCTGATGGTTTTGAAGCACGTAGCACTGTTTACTTTTCTTGGCTCCTTATCCCCTTTCTTTCCTCAACTTTTCGGAACTGACTCTTTCTGGGTTCTTTTTCTATTTCCCTGACTTAGCTTTCCTGGTGACATTATCTCATTCCTTTTTCTTTACAGTGATTTCCCCCCCTAAGGTTCCATCCTTGGACCTAGGTTTTAACTTGCAAAGTCCATAACATTTTCATGGATGATCTAAAACTCCACACCCACATTTTTTTTTTTTTAACTTTTAGACAATTGAAGATTCACATGCACTCGTAAGAAATAACACAGAGAGATCCCAAATAGCCTTCATTCCCCTGGTAATATCTTACATAGTATAGCTATAGTACAGTATCACAATCAGGAAATTTTGATTGGTATTTTGATATGATATGCCATATTTGTTATCTTTCATCAATATTCAGAGTTTACGCATTTCATGAGTATTTCACATGTACAGGTGATATACCTACCTTTGGACTCACATCTCAAAGCCCAGAGATAGGCTTTTGTCCTTCCAGGAAGAAGGTGGTTGAGGAGATCATATAGCAGTTCCTAATCCTGACAATACCCACATATTCTAAAATAGGCCCCCTGCCATCAGCAGAGTGATCCTCAAACTGTAGCATGCAAATCCCTACCTCTCTACAATGCTCTCCTAGTCTGCAACCCTCCACGAGATCCTTTCAAAGTCTGCCCATCCTTCTAAGTCTGGCTTAGGTCCTTCCTCACAGGAACCCGCCACAGTGCTACTGGTTCATGAATGAGTCCTGCGTTAATCCTGTCTCTCTAGTTACATGTAAAGTTCTTCTGGGGTAGAAATGAGACTTTTTCTATGGGTCTCATAGGTCTAGAGAAACATATAGGTCCTCAATACAAAATTCAACTAAGATAGGAAAAGAGAGAGGGGGCGAAGAAACAGAAAAAAAGAAGCAAGGCAGGCAGAGCTTACTATCACAGAGGAGTCTAGAAAGCAGAAACAAGTTAATTTTTAAAAATAACGTAGCAAGCATGGGCAAAGGCTACAATCTTTCTTTTTCCCACCCATGAGAATTATTATTCTGAAGAATCTCACCCTCTTCAACTGTGAGCAGGTTTCCCAAATCTGCTGAAGAATGATACTGGACTGGCTCGGAATTCTTCACATTTGCCAGTGGCAGGAAAGGATCGTAATCCGGGGAGGACAGGTCAGCCAGGGTCAGTGTGTAGTGACTCTGCTGGGTGTATGTGCTTGAGCCACAAACACAGCAGTGCAGAACCTGTGAGAAACAGAAGGGAATGTGTGCCATGGATGTGACTAACCCCCTGTCCCTGACAACCTGCCAAACCACAACAGCACTTAGGAGGCAGGTAATACTTGATAGGGTTGGTAATACTTGAATACCTTTCCATTCTAAAACATCTTCTTGCTATTTGCAAGATTATTCTGCTCCTTTTACAACAACGCCAATAAATATATTCTCAAGATGAAAGGAAAGTGAAAGTTAAAAAGTGCTTATTTTGCCATTCTAGGTGGGAGCACACAGCTAAGTCCTGCTGTGGCCCACCAGAATGTTCATAGAACTTCTTTTTATGGTCCAAAGCTCTACTACCCAAATACGCATCAACAGTAGGACAGATACATAAATCATGGCATACTCTCATTGTGTATTACCAAACAGCAGTGAGTGAAAGATTATTCACAACAGTATAAATGAATCCCTCAGAAATAATGCTGAGTGAAGGACATCAGACACAGAAGCACATACTGCATAATTTCAGCCATACAAAGTACAAAAAAATCTACACTGTTAGACAGGCAGGCAGTACCCCAGGTGTGTGTATGGAGATAGTGACTAGTAGGGAGGCATGATGGGGACTTCTGGGATACCAAGACTATTTAGTTTCTGCAGTTGGGATCTGGTTTCACAGGTGTAACCACTTTGTGAAAATCCATCAAGAAGAACTTATGACTGATATAGTTTTCTGGATGCATATTATACTTCAATAAAAAGTTTCCTTTAAAAATACAATAATATTATTCAGTAAATTTGTGAATTGTGTTAACGAGGAGGTGACTTTTTTATTGGTAAAACAATTTTAAGAGAAATCTTTAAACAACAACAAAAAAAAACACTAGAAAAGAGATAAATTTAAATGACTGTGGCTACTTTATTTGGTCGAGCCAGGGCTCACATGGGTTTATAAGCCACAAAGATGACAGAAGTATCTAATGAATCCTAACAGAGTTATTAAAAGTTTTGATCACTAAAGAAACAACTTAAAAATACGCAATACTTTTTAGTAGAATTTCAACCATGTTAAGTGTCTTTTTCCCTTGTGTTTAATACATTTTTAAAAAAGGCAACCAAGTAATAAGTTAATGACTTGGAATATTTTTTTTTTTAAAGGTTATTAGTAGTGGCGCCTGGGTGGCTCAGTCAGTTAAGCATCTGCCTTCTGCTCAAGTCATGATCTCAGGGTCCTGGGATCAAGCCCCACGTCAGGGTTCCTACTCAGTGGGGAGCCTGCTTCTCCCTCTGCCTCTGCTGTTCCCCCTGCTTGTGCTCTCTCACTCACTTTCTCACAAATAAATAAAATCTTTAAAAAAAGTAAAGGTTTTAAGTTATAAATATAAATTATATTTGGCATACATATATTGGCATATGTAAATAAACATTATAAGTATAAATCATAAATTATTTATAACCTTTATAAAAGTAAAGATTATAAATTAGTAAAGGTTTGTTACTAAAACAATACGCAGAATTGTCTCTACCTAGTAGTAATTATTCAATGATACACAAACGCTAAATTCATAAATAAGGCTTTCACAGGAGGGAATGTAAAGCCAATACAGAAGGATAATATAAAGGGTCCAGAGCAAACACCAAACCTAGGCATCAGTAGGGGGTGAAATTCAAATATTTTAAGTACTATAAAAATGACGAGGCTAAATACTTTGAAGTGATATATTTCCTTTATTTATTTCTTAAGACTCGGGGTGTCTTGGTGGCTTAGTTGGTTAAGTGTCAGCTCAGGTCATGATCTCAGGGTCCTGGGATGGAGCCCTGAGTGGAGTTCCCTGCTCAGTGGGGGAGCCTGCTTCTTCCTCTCCTCCCTGCTTGTGCCCTCTCTCACTATCTCTGTCTCTTTCTCTCAAATAAATAAAAAATCTTAAAAAAATTTATTTCTTAAAATCTTTTAAAGCAAAGAGAGTACTGTGTCCTTTATACTTCTTCTTTTGATAAGCAGATTTTGTCAAACTACAGCTGTAAATATTCCTACAACATCAACAGTTCTTTTTAAAATGAAGTACAGATAGACCATGTTACATGAAAATTGACGGGGGTCGGGGAGCGGTGGTTTCTGGTCAAACCGCAGTTGTTTAAAGATGGAAGTCATGTGAAAATGCAAGCTTCTTTCACTGAGTAACCATTGCTTCTCTACAAGAATATCTGCTCTGTTTTCACTCCTTAAATTATTCTTTTCTTTTAAAATGTTTCAGCCCCCAAATATGCTTTTCAAAAGGGCACAAATAAGTAAATGTATAGAACATATTTTGTTAATTCTCTGATGCTTAAGTCTATACTCTATGTCCCTGAGGCCCAAATAGAGACTCACCCTGTAGATATAATCCAACAAAGGGGCTCTGGACGAGTGCTGCTCTTCCAGGGCCGCTGTGGACACTGGGTGGAGGAGGGTGCTCACTGGCAATGCCATGCACCAGTCCAAGAGGCAGAGTAGCAAGGACACAATAAACTGGAAGAGGAAACAGGCCCAGTAACATATATTGCAATCCTTCAAACTTTGCTACATGTAATAGCAAACAAGAGAACAGTCCCTACACAATAATAATTATTCAGTGGACACACAAATGCACAAGAAATGAATGAATAAAGTTTTCACAGGGGAGACCATTAGGACCAATACAGAAGAAAACTACAAAGGATATCCCTACATAGAACATTATTTATAATTTTGTCTTATGTTAAAAAAAAAAAAAAAATCCAACCTCTGGAAAAAACTTAGCTGATGTGCCACCTACCTTTTTATCTGTTTCCACTGAGGAGTACTCTGCACTTGGTAGAAGAAAAGCAATTGTGGCCACAAGGATCTGCATAAAAAAGACAAACCCCCAATGAAACAGACCATAGCAATAGTTTGGGAAACTATATGATAAGAGTCCCAAAATGGCCTTGCACTAAACCCAGCTTGGTGCCAACTTGCTAGAGGAAGGTGATTAAAAAGCAGAGAGCCAGTTTAGAGCTCCCTGTGGTCCTGAAAATCAGGAGAAAGTGACAGACCCACACCTAGTCTCCACTCTACCCTACCAGTGCTGAAATTGGGGGCCCCAGAGGAAGGGACATTTCTCTCTGTGGTCACACAAGTCCTATCATCAGTCTCCATACTTTACACAATGAAAGTAAAAAACATTTTCAAAAATAACTATGAAAATACTACCATTTGATTTTCTTATAAACCATTCATGTCTCTATCTCTTGTCCTGGTGTAAGCACCCCTTGTATTCTCAAAGATATTTCTCTTTTGATGATAAACTGTAAGTGATCTTTGAACAACCCGGGTATTTTGGTGCTGACCACCCCTCCGCCGGGCACAGTAAAAATCCATGTATAAATTTTGACTTCCCCCCAATTTAACTACTATTAGCTGACTGCAGGCCAGAAGTGTCATCAATAACATAAATGGATGATCAACACATATTTTGTATGTTATATATATTCTACGCTGTAGACTTACAATAAAGTAAGCTAGTGAAAAGAAAATGTTAAGAAAATCATAAGGAAGAGAAAATGTATTTACAGTCCTCTATCCAAAAAAAATCCACATACAAATTGACTTATGCAGCTCAAACCCATGTTGTTCAAGGGTCAACTATACGTAGTTGCCCTAGAACACAACTTTACAACTTGCAGCATCTGATATTCCTATGTCCAGAGCTCCAAACTCTAGGTCACCTAAAGTCTCCCTGAGAGAACAAAGTGATCTCACTGGTGAAATCTACCTAGGGCTGAGAGAAAATAAATCAATATCACTTTTTCTTTCCCTGTAATACCACACAGAGATAAGTCAAATTTCCTTGAAGAGTTACCACTGCATGTGTAAAGAACAGGGCATGTTTCAGAAAGGGCAGCTTTCAAAACTGGCAGGAATGGATGTGCCTCATATGCAGGCACTTACAGAGGGGAGGGTACCTCTTCTGTACAGGCAAGCACCCTCAGATATAACCGGCCTCCAGGATATCATCACTGGGATGATTCTTTCTGCTCCTTCTGTCCTTTTCTCCCAACAACTACCCCCCTACCCCCGCCCGCGGGTATTAGAGTAGTAATCTCATTACAACTGGGTAATCACGCTATGGCAGAAAGCGTGGTCCAGGGCTTCAGTCTGGAAGAGACTCCTGTTTCACACAACAGTCCCCCTGCCCCCCGCCCCTGCACGGAGGGCATCATAACCAGCTGCCTACTCCTTGTTGGCACCATCCAAATTACTCTCGATGAATGAAGCCCAATCTACAAAAGGTCTCTTTGTTGTGGTCGTGTCTGCTTTTCAAACTCCCCAAGTGTGAGACTCTGCCCTGAACACTGGTGGCTTCTTTACGTAGTGCCTGAAATCACAGCTGAGAAGAGCCAGTGCGATTTAATCTTAAAACGAATGACTCGTATGGCAATGTAATAGACAGTTCTCTAACAATTATTTGAGTATCTGTAATTCATTAAATACCGAATAGAGTGAGAGGGAAAGGCTTATGTTTTAGCATTACAGGAAAAGACTTACTTCTGCAATTTTCCGAGGCAGAGAGGTTTCAAACATCTGAAGCTTTTCCCAGTAGGAAACCAGCAACTGAAGAACATCACAGGCCACCTGAGCCACGATTTTGTTAGAAAACTATAAAAGGAAACGAAACCCCAAACAAAAGGATTGAACTTAACACGTACATTTGTCCTAAGGAAGAAAAGAAGAGGCATTTCTTTCTAGCGATGTTTAGGGATACGTTTTCTTGTCTGGCATTCAATTTTTGAAAAATGTGTCCTGGTACCAGATAGTTTGTGTATGATCATCATCCTGTAACTGCCTCTTGTCCAGACTAGCTGTATTAACTTACTTAAAGTTCTACAGAAATAAGTAGCTGTTGTTCAGTCATAGGAAAATTAAAACCATAATTTCAGATGCCTCATGCAGATCGCATAGATTATAGTTTTGACAACTAGAGGAAATTAAAATTAAAATTAAAATTAAAATTAAAATTAAAATGTCCAGTCCACTACTGAGTATACCCTATGTGCTGGACCTTTTACAAGAATTTTCCTCATTTCTGCATTGATAAATCCACACTAGCAGCTCTGCAAGGTAGACGTGATCTTCATTTTACACCTGGAGAAATGGACTGAGCAAGTGACTTTCTGTCTTCTAAAATTAAACTGAACGTCCACATGTAATGTACTAAGAAATGCGAAACTTTGACGACTCCAAGAACATAATTCATAAGCTCTAGTGTATTCAATTACTTTGAGTATGTTTTCGGAGTCTGGAGTGTGTCCAAGGTCCTCTGGATGCTCCCAGTTCTTGCAAGATGGCATGTCAATAGGGGAGGGATGGTGCCTACAAGGGCTGTTGGCTGGGGTGGATGAAACAGATGAAGGCACCCTGCGCCTCTCTCCCTGGCCAGAACCTGGGACTACTCTGCTAGCCATACCTCATTATCTACAGAAGAAAGATTTGTCACCGATTTGGGAGAACCTCTGGATATGTGGCTTTGGGAAACCTCTGGATACATAGCTTAGTTATTTCCTTGCCAGGAGTTCCAAGTCCCAAGAAGCACATCCTAATTGACCTCAGCACCACACAGATACATAAAAGTCAACATTTAGTATCTCAGTGTAAATGCACAGGAAAAGGAAGAAGTTAGGGCAAAGGGGATTCATTTGAATTCAATAGGATAAACACTTCTTGATTGCCCTTTTCTGGTAGGCACCAGGGCAAGAGGGTCTGTGCTCAAGGGGCTCTTCAGAGCCTGGCCTCTAGGCCTCAGGGGAACCTGATGCTCATAGGCTTCTTTCAATCCCTCAAATACTCAGGCTTGCTTCTGCCCCAGGGCCTTTGTACTTGCTCCCTGCTTTGCCTGGGACACTCATTCCCCAGGTCTACATGTTGCTGGCACTGCCACATCTTTCAGATCATGGCCCTAAATGTCTCCTCTATGAGGCCACCATGCCCATCCAAAGGAGTGGCAGCCCATCTGCTCCCGCTCTTCAGCTTCATCCTGTTTCCCACTTATAGTTCCCTTATGGCATTAAGGGCTATCAAGCTGATCTTTGGTATTTGTCTGCCTATTCTTTCATGTGTTTAATTTTTCCACATCTCATTCACCATTCATCATCTCATATCACTCATTCATCATTCCTAACGTCTCGCACAGCCCCCTGAGGAGAAGCACAAGGTGAGTCTGAGGTGAAGATGGAACCGAGGGAGTGAAGAACATGAGTAGGCACTGGGTGTGTTTCTGTTGCATCACAGTGGTCAAGTCATGGGGTGGAAGCAGAAGGCTGGCATGGCTCTTACATCTAAAAGATGGAAGCACACAAGAGGATGATGAGGAAATGAGAGCTATGGTAGACCAGACAATAAGACTCTGGGCAGAGAGGGGTAAGGTGTGAGAGAGGGGGCAGACCACAAAGAGGACGGGCTGGGGGTGGGCAGGAGAGCTGAGCCTAGCCTGGAAGGAGGCAGAGAAAGAGTGTCTCTGTGTAGGCAGCGGGCAGCAGGGCCCTGCGGCAAGCAAGGCTAGGCTGGAGGGCTGCAAGTGGAGTGGTATTAGTCACACGTGAATGCTGTGGGCTGTGGCAGGGAATTAATCGCTCACTCCGCACATACTCACGGAACAAGGACAATGTGCCAGCACTGATGGTGACACATGGTAGCTACACTTGTGGTGGGCATGGCAGAACTCACAGGTTGTTGAATCACTTTATGTTCTATACCTGAAACTAACATCACATTATGTGTCAGCTATACTCAAATTAAAAAAAAAAAATGCAATAGACCCACTCCCTCCAAAAACCATACGGGGAAAAGAATTCTGGGAAATGCTGTCCAGGCTCAGCTAAACTGACAAGTACTAAGGCCACAGCTCCCCTGCTGCCCCAACAGCGCACTCTGCTCCATGTACCATCTTGCTCTTCAAATGTATACCAGTTCATGTGCACCTCAGGGCCTTGGTACTTGGTGCTCCTTCTGCCTGGAGTGCCCCTTCCCCAGACACTGCCTACCTCCTTCTCACTATTCATTTCTGCACTCACAGGCCACCTCCTCCCACTACAGAGGGAGGACCTTCTGCTTCTGGACGCTCTCTAAAGTGAACATGTGTAGTTGCTTGGCCAGTGTCAATTTCCCCCTCTCTCCTTAACTAATAGTAGATCTTTTTCCAGGTGCAAGTCCTCTCTCCCAGTTCCAGGAATGTGCCCTAACTGACTGAAATGAATCAAAAGATTTTATTCCCAGCCTCAGTCACTGGCAAAAGGATGAGCAAGAAACCTTGGCTAATGCGTCTCAGTACCACTTACTAGAATGCTGTGAGGGAAGTCCTGCTGAACATGAACAAGGACATGCAGGACCCTGACTCCTACTGGCAGACATCCTCCAACTCTACGGGCATCCCACCCTAAAAGGAAGCCATCTCTGTGGACTACAGAGCAGAAGACTCAGACAATTAGGTCAGTGTTGATGCTGTTCACCTCCTGGATCAACCAGACTCAAACTCTTCCATACCCATGTATTTTCCAGCTTTAAGAACCAATACATTCTCATGTTGTTTGAGCCAAAAAAGAAGAGCAAAGCACAGGGCACAAGATGAACAGGGCAGATATCGTCCCTACTCTGAAAGACTGACAATCTTGGGAATAGGCAGGGACCTCTTTGTGTATATTCCTGAATGCCATGCTTAGTACTCTAGTTTGTGGGTGACTTGGTCAGGGCTTGTATTGACAGATTCCTCTGGTGGCAGTATGGAGGACAGATCTGTGGGGGCCAGACTAGGGCTATGGGGTTGGAGGACACCCAGAGGCTCAGTTATTAGCATAGGGACCCAGCCTGGGTGAGGGATGGCCCTAGGGCAGCAGGACTCTATGACCGAAGATGGGGCTGGGGTAAGGAGGAGGAGACAGTTAATGATGTCTCCTAAGATGGGGTAAAAGAAGGAGAAACAGGCGAGGCTGAGGGTAGGGGCTCAGGCTGGGCTGGGGAGGCAAGGTTGGCAGCTCACCTGAGCCAGAGCCAAAGGTGACATGCTAGTGCCCTTGGCCAACATCCTGGATGGGATACCTAAGTAACTACAGCTCAGGCTTAGAACACTTACCTGCCACCCGTGCTGCCCACAATACCCCACCAGACACAAGTAGCTGGGTGGAAATCTGCAGGTGCCTATGCAGTGCACTGCTCTCATTTACTGCTGAGCTACAGGCTGGTTTTCATTGATACCCCCTGGGGAGCATTTCCCAGCCTTCTCTGACATGCCTTCCCACATCAGATGGAACACCCAGGTCAATCTTGTCAAGTGTTCCTGAAGGGCAGGGTCAGAGCAGAGTGGTACCCAGAACAATGTGGAAACCATAAGGCAGGAAGCCCTTGCAGGGCTCATGCTCCCTGTGCTGCTGGGGCTGGGCCTCCTCCTAGCAGGCCCTGAGGCTCCCTGAGGCCCCTCTTCTAGAGCTGTTCCTTGTGGCCATGCTTTCCCTGCTAGGCCCTCAGTTCTCTGAGATTTATGTGCCACCTCCTTCAGTAAAAGTACCAACTGGGACAGGAACACAGACATCAGAGGGAGGCAGGCAGGGAGCTGTCCCAGGGTCCTGGAATTACATCTGTGAGTTTCCCTCTGCTATTCCTAACAGTTAAAGGGAGGCTGATTTGGCCAATCTTGGCCCTCTGATCTCTTCACAATTCAAAATGGAGTGAGTTTCTTGGCCTTCTTTAGTTGCCTTCTCTCTTATTTCTAAAATGGGGAGAGCCAGAGCACCTACAGGGACGGGGCTTCCACCAGACAGTCCCTGCACTGTGCTGGGATGCCTCTGGCAGAGTCTGGGCTCCATGCATTCTTTCTCTGGTGCCTTATGTTTGTCCTCATCATTACGGAAAAGTAAAGACATTTTTGAAAATGTGGAGACCTACAGACCTACAACGACAAAATGTAAGCCCTCATATCCTTCTACTTTTGTTATCAATTTCCATCTCCCTTCTGTACTACATAGAACCATACAGGGTAGAAGGATAGCTATATCACTGTATCTACGTATCTCCAACATTCTCGGACACCACTGAGCTATTGACAGCTTTTCCAGGAAAGGGGGAGAGGTGGGGAGGCCACACTACATTCAACATTTGAAAAACAGATCTTTAGAATTGAGGAAAGAGGATATTAAAAAAATTAGACTCTGCATAGATATACAATTGCCAACTTTTTTTCACTTTAATAGTTACATATGAATATTTCACCGTAGCTTCTGCAATTGTGTCAAAGTCCAGACAAGGGGCCAGGGTGTCCTGGGTTTGACCCTGGCCAACTCTTTACTCCCCAATCAGCTCATTTTCCACATCTATGAAGCAGAGGTGGCCGTAACCCTTTACCTCATGGGGTGGTCCTAAGGATTAAAAGCAACAACAAAGGTCAGCGCCCCGCTCAGGACAGAGGGAGCACTCCTAATTGATCCTGGTTCAATCAATTTTCCATTCCTCACCACAGGGATCAGCAGCAAGTGTTTGTCCAGCTCTCATGACAGAACCGGTACACCCAGGTGTGGAGGCAGAGAGAACAGCAGGGCTGGGTGACAGCTTGGTCAGAAAGAGAGGTAGGTGAGGAGGGCTGACACAAAATCAGACTGCACAGGCAGGCAGGGGCTAGACCAGAGAGCTGGATGCCAAGCCATGGGCAAGGGATGCCCCAGCTGGTTACCCTGTGGGCTTAAGCACAAAAGGTGACACAGGGGCTGTCAACAGCCTGGTGATGACTGTCCCAGTTGTCAGCTACAATGGCGATGACTATTACAGCAGCACACATCAAGCAGTAAAGAAGGCCAGGCCTGAGCCTGGACTCTGGTGTCAGACGAACAGTTCAGGGTTTGAACTTTGGCTCGGCCAGGCTTTAGAGCCTGGAATGAGCTCTTTAGCTCTCCTGCACCTCAGTTCCTCTACTGTAAAATGGGACAACTGTCTCACAGCTGAGAACTTCCACAAAATCCCAGCACAGTGACTGGTAGGGACCGGGCACTCACTGGTTCGGGGGGTATAATGATAACAATGCTAATTATTACCATCATTTTTAAGCAGGAGCCCGAAAAGAACCTGGAAGGATTTGAGCTCTGGTTTAGAAAGTGGCCTAACAGTATGTACAAAGGTTTTGTTTTTCATGGTAAGCAGATCTGCTCTTGGTGCCATCACTTATACCTGCATGGCTGTGAACTCATGACCTGATTCCTCTGGGCCTTGCTTTCCTCTGGTGTGACATCAGGATTATACTATCCACCTTGCAAAGCCGCTATTGTGAAGGTTTTGGAGACTCTACCATGAATCCAGCTCCACGTGACTGCCTAGTGAATGGCAACTCCTCCTTTCATTAACAAAGCAAAGGAAGAAAGCCATCCTTAAAGTGCCAAGAACCAGTCAGACAGGGAGCACTCAGGACTGTTAACCAGGAGCTGTCAGGTCTCTCCCAGTCCTACTGAAGAGGCCAGGGCATGAAATCCCACCTTCTTTTCACTATTACCCACAAAGGACAGTTGTTTTGCTTGCTACAGGAAGTGGCCAGCTACCAGAGGAAGACTGTTCAGCTGCAGGGCTTGGTCCAGGAACACTCAGGGATGGATGGCCAGGTTGCAGCCATCAGTGGGGAAGCAGCTGTTGGTGGTCTCTCTTGGGAGCCTCACAGGATGTTCAACATGGCTCTCAGAAAAATAATTTTTGATTCAAAATCTCTCATGTACAGACAAATAAGAATGGGGCTAATCCAAACTAGCAGTGGATGACTATCTGGGATACAGTTTACTGTCAAATACACATCATGAATTGGTAATACCTTCAAAGTGACACCTATCACATTGACGGCCTCTTTCAGCTGCGGATGGTTTGTACACTGTGCCAGTTCTTCGCATATCCAGACCCCGAGGGAGCAAATGGCAATGCATCTTTTGAAAAAGAAGGAAAAGGGGGTAAACTCTCAAAAAATGTAATATATTTTCTTGGTATTTTCAAGTGACAAATATTTTAAATCTTTTTTTACAAAGTGGCCAAAATTATAGATATGTTAACAGAGTGTCTTCCTGAGGAAAAAGATAAGGTATTCTCAATAGTTCAGTTTTCAGGACAAAAAGAAATACTGATATTGGTTAGTAATTACATATTTAATGAAATAAATGATCTATTTCCTGTTAGTAGGCACAAAGCACATATCAGTTATTTTTGCTGACAGTTCATGTTGTATTGCTTCAAGGTAGTTTTGAAGAAGATTCAAAAACATGAATCTTAGAAAATGGTTGGAAATCGAGCTTCTACTTGTTTTTCTTACAATAAAATATACAAAACCTACTAAAACAGAAGACAAACTCCACATTCCATTGTAAAGAATATCGGAATACAACTTTCATAATCAACTGCACTGTTACTGCTTTTAAACAATGTGTTAGGACAAAGCCTTCTTCAAGTTGCACATTACTTTAAAAATTACCTTCTTCAATTTTAAATCAATTTTAAGTGGTAGTTATCTTTGAAACTGATCTTACTGAAACTTACTTTGAAACTGATCCTACTATCTTTTACAATGATCAAAAAGTCATATTCCTGTTAATTTTTTCTGAATGCCCATATATAAAATTAAAATACTTCCAAACCTGGTTACTTTCCTAAACAAAAGGGGATTCAAGCCACTACTCCGAACCAGACATTAGCTGTGGTATGTATATGTTGTTCTTTGTAAGAAGAGGTCACATCACCAGTGCCAATTAAACTGAATGTACTGTTCAGCTCTCCACAGTGAAAGTTCTTTGTATTCAGTATAATTCAGCTATTAAAATAAATATATTTTGAGGTTTTAAAACCACCATGTTTCACTGGATTCTCACCTCCTTAAGTTAGGATAGACGAAATGCTTCAGAACATGTTTATTAAAAGCTCTTTGGAGACTATGTCACCTTCTACGAAAATGCACTCAGGATAAGCGTGCAGCCCCCTTTACAAGGCATGCCTGGGCTTCTTGGATTCTCCAACAGCAACATTATACAGGAGTTACACACAATTCAAACCCTCAGCTTTCCTTACTGTACAGAACTATCTCCTCTTGCCTGATTCCTATACTGAGTCTCAGTCCAGAAACTGTACTTCATATTCTCAGTTTGCTTTCAATGTCATGTATTCTGTATGCTTTCCAATTGCCTCTTTGATCTTCCCCAGCTTAACTCAAACTCTGAGTGTTCAACCCACTAAAATCTAACTTGGAATTATACTCAATCATACCACTTTAAGAGACTCTCTTCCCTTATAGACTTGCATGTGTGTGTGTCTCTCTCTGTGTGTATTAATACATACTCTTTTTTTTTTTTTTTTTACAACCCATTAACCTATCTGTTAAATGTAATTCATTAAGGGCAAAGATCTCTCATTTCTTAGGAACACCTGCATTAGCCCTGAACGACAGAAAACATTTGTGACCCATAAAATGGCTTCATAATGTGAACTACTCTCACCTGCCTTGAGTTTTAAAGCTGCACTAGCTTATAGCAGGTCTTCAATGCTATTTTCTGCCTTTGAAATTTATCATTTAGCATCTGCCTATTCCGGCATTCTCAGGTATTCCTTTTGGCTTTGAGTTTCTGTCAGTTAAATTCTCTGTATCCCAAATGTGTCCTTTGTGATCCCAAATGAGTTCTAGCTCTCAAGATGTTTTTTTAGCTAATGGCAGCACCACCTTTACTCTCCTTTTTATGCCAACACACCCTCTGGAGACTGTTTGCTACTCTGCCATCTCACACTTCTCCAGTTTATGTAACAGAAACTTACTATTTTTTCTTATGTTTTCTACATTATTATCACTTGTAATTATAACTAACTTCCCTCGTAATTATCTTCCATTTATTTGAAATCTTGGTCATATTTCTGCTTATCTGCGCTTGCGTGACCTCAATTTCATGTTTAATACATGGCTGATAAAGACTGAGCATATCACACATTTCTATTCCATTTTTCACTCCATAGAAGTTTGGCTTTCTACAGTAAAGAAAAAGGTGGTGGTGGGGGGGAGATATTCCCAAGACATGTTAAAGATTTGAATGTGACAGGTAAGTGAAAAGGAGAAATCAAGGATTTTTTTCCAAGTTTCTCGATTGAAAATCTGGGTAGATGATGGTGACCTTTACTGAGATGGAGTCTGAGGGATGGTATGGGGACTCAATGGTTCAGCTGCGGTTGTGTTAGCTTTGCATGTGTTAAGACATCCAAGCTGAGATACCAAGTAGGCAGCTTAATACATAAGCCTGAATATACATGGGATTCACAGAAGAGGCTAGGCAAATAAATTCAGCATCATCAGTATCATAAATTCAGCAGTATTTAAGGTCTGGTTAGAATGAATAAGAACACCAAGGAGAGTCAGAGAGAGAAGAGGACCAGCCCTAAACCTCAAGTCACTCTAACACTCAGAGGTTAGGTGGAGGAGGGAGACAGAACAGGAGCAGCTGTGGTGACACAGGAATAAAATCAGAAGATTATATTCTAAGGAACTGGCATTGTTCAGGAAAAGAGTAAAGGCAGACTAATTTCAGAGTTAGTAAGACAAGTATGCACATTAAAATTTCTAAGGCAACTTCTTAGAAAACTGAGAATCTATGACTTCTGCAAAAATAGAGATAATAAGTGGAATGTGAAAAAAATCATCTGAAAGAAAGAAAGAAAGGAAGGAAGAAAAGGAGAGGGGAAAAATAAAGGCAAGAATAGGGACAAAACGAGAGAATATTGATAAGGAGCAATAACAAAACATAAAGGCAGATTGAAGAAATACATCCAAGTATGTCAGTAACTGCAGTAAATGGGAAATGAACTAAAGATTCAGTTAAAAGATCAAGATCAGACAGGATAAATGTATAAAATAAAGAATGTACAATTTTTTCAAAGACATCTAAAGAGAAGAATATAGAAAGGTTTGGAACACTGCAAAAATAAAATAAAATTTAATTTAAAATAAAAAAAAAGGGTAGAAAGTATTATTTACAAATATATTAATTAATATATATATTAATTAATATGAGACAAGTGGTTCTTAAGAGAAAAAAAAATCATCCTTAGAAGTAAATACGGTCACTACGTAAATTAACAGATATGATTCTCTATAGAGATTTGATAATTCTATAGTTCTATATAGCTAATAATATAGCTTCAAAGTATATAAACAAAGATTGACAGATACACAAGGAAAAATAGATCAATGCACCACAATAACGGGAGATTTTAACCTATTTTTCTCAGTAAATGATTAAGATGGTAAAAATATTAGTAAGGATGTAAAATATTTGAAACACACTATTGAAAAAATTAATCAAATGGACACATCTAGAGCGGTACACCCAACTACTGAAGAAATGGTAATATGCATGCTTTTCAAGCCCACCCAGAGCATTTGCAAAAACTGACTATCTGCTGGGCCACAGAGCAAATCTCAACAATTTCAAAGACTGTCAGTTGACAGACAACGTATTGGATTTGTGATTCCTTTAAGATGTCAGTAGCAAAAAAATAAAAATAACTATATGTTTAGAAATTAAATATATTTCTAAATAAAGAAATATATGAAGGAATCAATGATGGAATCATAATGGAAATGGGGGAAAAAATCTGTAGTGGGAAAATACTACATATCAAAACGTACCGAACTCAGATGACGTAGGACCTAGAAATAAGCATATGAACTTAAATGTTGACATTTGTAAAAGAGAAAGGCTAATTTTAGTATGTGGAGTTAGTATACTGTTATGTTAATACATCAGAATTAACATGCTGATAAAAAGGAACGGAATGAAGAATATGAAGAAAGAAAGAAAAAAGAGCAGAAAGTAGAAAATAAAAACAAATTAGAATAAAGAGGCTGAACAAAGACAAAAGTAAGTTCTTTGAAAAGTTGATAAATCTTTGGCAAGACTAGTGGCAAAAATCACAGAATACATAATAGGGTCCGGGATTAAGAAGTGCATGTAGCTCTTGGAGTGAAAGAAACATAAGATAGCCAATATTATTTCAGAACTTAGATGAAATGGACAAATTTCTGCACAAGTTTAGTTTATCCAAGGTGTAAAAGAAAGGAAAAGAAAAGAAAGCCTTAATATTCCTAAAATCTTGGAAGAAAATAAGTCAATGGTTAATCTCTCATAAATAAATGACCAGACCTAGATAGTTTTACCATCGAGGCCTAAATACACAGGAGCATGAACTCTTAATTTTACAAAAATTCTTGCTGACTATAGAGAATGAAACGATACTTTAATCATTCTGTAAGAGTATCTAACCCTGAATCAAGCCTGATAAGAACTGGATTGGGAAAGAAAATTATAGGCCATAAATATAAATGCAACTTTCCTGAACAAAATATTAGCCAAATCAGATCTGGTACTGTATAAACCAAGTTGAGTTTATCCCAAAATTTAAGGTTACTCTAATATGAACAAATTGATAGTCAATTTATAGCTTCTGGTAATGGGAAACTAGAAAAGGTGGACTAAGCAATCTAGAGAAGACCACTGAAAAAGTTAGTCAAAATACAAACTCCCGGGACGCCTGGGTGGCTCAGTTGGTTAAGCGGCTGCCTTCGGCTCAGGTCATGATCCCAGCATCCTGGGATCGAGTCCCACATCGGGCTCCTTGCTTGGCAGGGAGTCTGCTTCTCCCTCTGCCTCTGCCTGCCATTCTGTCTGCCTGTGCTCGCTCTCTCTCCCTCTCTCTCTGACAAATAAATAAAATCTTTAAAAAAAAAAATACAAACTCCCCCCAAACAAAACAAAACAAAATTCCACAAGCCAGAAACCCTTAAAAATCATCAAAGAGCTGGCAAGGCAGTGATGGTTGGTAGGCTGCTAGAGAGAGAACAGGGCAGGAGCTGATTCCTTGGAGGCAGCAAGAGACTGAGTTAGGCTTCTGGTGACTTTATGAGGCTGGAGGCAGAGGATGAGAAAGTGGTGTTGCCCTCTACCACTGCTCCCAGCTTTGGGCTTTACTTTGGAAGGCCAGATATGCAATTTCTCATTATGCAGGTGGTCCGGAAAACCCCTATATTGGTAACAGACTGCTAGCAAACTCAGATGCCTGGCAGAAACAACCAAAATATTTTCAGACATTGCTAAATGTCTCCTGAGGTACAAAATCACCTCTGGTTGAGAATTACTAACCTTATACATATACCATTTTTATAAGTTTTTGGTTTATCCTTCCATTTACTTCTTCATTAAAAAAATAACAGGGAATACCTGTATATATTCAAAATCTTTTTTCTTCTACAAAATGTAGCATGCTATAATCTTTTGCACCTTACTGTCTTCACTGAATAGTGGCACACTCTAAAAAAATTAAGTAAAGCATTTTCTTGACATAATTCTTACTACACTTTTTAGTATGTGTACAAGTAATGCGGAAGAGTGCTTTTTTTAAACATTAACTTTTTACATATAAATTTGTATCTTAAAATCCTAAAATAGTTTACCTTTAGTCAACATTTACCTTGCACATTCATTTGGTTCCTCTGTGGCATTCTTCAGTAAAATATTTATGAGGTAATGCTAAAAACACAAAATTAAGTAAAATAAAAACTTTGTTTAGTAGTTGGTTTCCCACATGTTTTGTGTTCCAGGCAGTCAGGAGCTACTGAAGGACCAGGAAACTCTGGAGAAGCTCCCAACAGAGAGAACCTGGGAGGCAGGGAAGGAAACAGAGGGTTTGGGGGAGCAGCCTGTAGTGTTCTTAGCCAGGGCCTCCCTGGGCAAGTAAGCCAGCCTAGAGAAGAGGGTTTCTGGGCATGCAATAAAAACCTTGCAAAGCCACTGAGAGTTCACATAGGAAAAGCTCAGTTTTCTTTTACTTCAATTATATATTGTATACTAAATTACATGTTATAATTATGTACCATAATTAGATAGATTTATTTTGAGATTTGAAAAGAATTTTTGTTTGCCCCAAAGTCAGTTAAGGGGGGGGAACAAATGCTTTCTTTTATTCTCTAAAGAATTAATAACTTGACATCTCAAATTATTAGTAGTGTTTAATCAGGCTAACAATGGGACTGAATATTTGGCTAACTTCAATTATTTCTTATAAACTCATTTGATACACTAATGTGGCACAATTAAACCTAAAATTATTACAAAGGATGACTTATTATATAATTACAATCCATAGGCATGATAAACAGATCTAATAAAAAACACCAGAGGAACCTATCAGTTATAACTGCCATATGCTCTGAATCTAATACATTAATCCCCCTAAAAGAGCCTTTTGGGAACAACAACAACAACTACTGAAAGATTTAAACAATAAAGCAGAATTTTCAGTGATAAGTAGATCACTGTATGATAATGGAAGAGAGGACCACATAGCTAGAATTATAAAATGCTAAACTTGAGATTCAATCAAATGCATGAGGTACCTTGACATCTTCAGTTCCTGTGATGACTTCCCTGACTTCCGGCACAGACTGCAGTAAAGGGATCTCCCGGTAGGTATTTGGAAAGCAGACTAGAGAACCAAGAATGGTGAGAGCTTCTGAATGAGGTGTCTGCACACAAAGAAGTAAAAACATGCTTTACTTTTTCATGATTTTGAGAGGGAATCTTTACACTTATTTTATCCTAGATAAGAAGTAATCAAACTATGCCAGGTTATTTTCCTCCAGGCGACCATTTAAGCAAGAGAGGTTTGTCCAGATGAAAAAGCAAATTTCCAAGAAATGGAAATTATCACTATACTTGTATAAAAAGCATTGTGAAAACTGGTCTGCAGATGCATTCAGGGTCAGAAGAGCAAATGACTCAATCATGACTTTCACTTTTTGTTTTTATCTTTTTAGTCTTAATGTTCTTGACAAAGCAGGGTAAGTAATATCAACTTAATATTATTTTTGCTGTGAAGACAGTTAACAAAATTCATAAGAGGGGTTTGGGTTGAATTTCAGAAGGCAGAGAAAGAGAGTAGACACAATCCACCAAATTTTCTGTCTCTTCATGAATATTTTGCAAAATAACTTATACTGTTTGATATATAGGGAGACACAAAATCACTTATTTGTCTATTATTGGAATTAGGTATAATTCTTACTACACGTTACTAGACTTCAATCTTGCCAACTTCACTAGATTTCAATCAAGCCAACACTTATTAGCAGCTATGATTAGCCAAGAATGGGCACCAGGATTACAAAGGTATTGCCACTCGCCCACCTACCCACCTGCCATCTACCCTTCTGTCTACTATTATCTAGTAATTATAACAATAGCAGCTAACACTTACAGTGCTAGGCACTGTTCTAAATGCTGTACAAGCACTGTCTCATAAAATACCCTCAACTATCCAATGAAGTAGATACTATTATCATTTCCACATTACAAGTGAGAAAACTGAGGCTCAGGGAAATTAAATGGCTTGTCAAGTGACAGATCCTGATTTGCGCTGGGCCTGTTTTGTTAATCACTTCTGGGTTTGAAATGAAAGCGAGTCTCCCTCCCCCAGGATATGGCGGTGTGGTGTGTGGGGTATGGGAGAAGAGGCAAATAGCGGTGATATACAATTCAGTGATATGGCTGTGAGAACCAGAGAGTGGGAATGTTATGGGAGCCCAGAACATTCATATTTAACCTCACTTCGTTTCCATCAGCACACAGGTCCAAAAGACAATATAAAACACAGAGATATTCTCTACGACCCAAAATGTGGCATAATTTGTTCTGCTCAGGATGGTTAGGGACACTAAGACAAACTGCTGCTAGAAGTCACATAGTGCCGGGGGAGCCAGCCAGGCTGGCAGAGTGAGGGAGCGAGGTGAGGGGCGAGAGGCCAGTGCAGGCAGTGCGGATGGAAAAGGCAGAAGACCCAGGGGCACCCATGGACCTGTAAAAGATGCAGGTGCACAGGGCCCAGAGGCCATGCAGGTATGCTGCAGGGACTAGGGGAGCTCCAGGAGAAAAGCACTGGGACTCCCAGGTAGCGATCCCCCCGCCACACGTGGCACAGTGCCCGTCTCATTCCACCCCAGGAGTGGTGCCATCGGAATGGAGCAGTAGTGTGGGGTGATGGATGCTCTCAGGAAGAGCAGAGTGTCAGGTGTCAACTGAAGCCCAGTGCAGGCAAGAGTGACAGCAGCTCTGATTGTAGCCATGGCCATGGCATCAGGCATGAAGTCATTATATTCTTAATGGTTTCTTTCATTTTTTAAAATACAAAGATTTGAAACCACTAGGGCAAAATGAAAATGTTAAGACTTGTCAAAGTTGGTCAGTGAGTACAGTATCTTGTTATGTGACCTCTACCACATAAAGCCTTGTGGTCACCGCCCAGGCCTTTCCTTATCTGACCTCTGGCCAGTGTCAGATGCAGGTGCTGGCTCTCTTGAGCCTGGGAACACTTTCACCATTTGGCCCTGGGACACCTTTCTTGGCTCCTACCTGAGGCGATCTAACAGTCTCCATGCTGGGATGCCTCATTTTCTCAGGATCCAAACTGTGATGCTGAGCGTGGTCCTGTGCCCTCTTCTCTCCCAGATCTATACTCACTCCCAAAGGATATCCAGATCCATGATTTCAATGCCTCCTACATGTTGGACTTTGGACTCCCCATCATTTCTCTCTAGACTAGACGCTCCCCCACCCCACCCCCGAAGTCCAGGTTTGTATGTCGTGCCCCCTCAGGGGTCGAGAGGCATCTCACACGAGCTCCACCTGACCAGAGTCCTGCCCTTTCTGTGCAACACTACCCCACCTCCATCATTCTGTCCCCTCATCTGCTGCTTTCCTTTTCCTGAAGTTTTATGTTAAGAGGAATGAAAAGGGAAAGAGAGTATTACATCTAAATACCAAACACCTGGATTCAAGATTTTACCACTCTTGCTTTATCTGTATGTTTCACTTTTTTCATTTCAGTATTTAAAAATCACTAAGAAGTTTCCACTTTCAATATTTTAAAGTGAATTCAAGACATTATGTCATCCCACCTCTATGGTCCCCAGCATCCCCGCTTCCGGTTTTTTCTTTGCATATATTACTTTCTGATGTGTTACATAGTTGTTTTGTGTTTGCAACACCAACAAAGATGGGGGTTAGATGGTTTTCAGCACTTTTCTATCCCAGTGGGTGCTCAGTAAGTATCTGAAGATAAGGGGTGGCTGCTGCTGTCCCCATTTATCTGACGAACACTGAGGGCCTTTCAGGTCTCTGCTTCAGCATCACTTCTCCGATGAAGACCTTTCTAATGTAGGTCTTTCCCTTCACTTCTCACCAAGCAGAATGAACCATTCCTCTGTTGCTGTCCTGTTGGGGTCTGGATGTGATTCTATTGTGGCTTCTAGAAACTTAGGCACAGATATTAACATTTAGTTTACCCAGCTGATTCATTGAGGGTAGGGCCCCTGTCATACTCATCCAGGCCAGGTCCCAGCATGTAGTGGATCCACAGTAACTGTTTCTCAAACAGCCTTGCTTTGTCAGTCCTCTCTAAATGCTGCCCTTTATCCCCAGACAATCTTGGTTTAGACTTCATTGACATTGATTCCTTTCCCTGAGTGGCCTTAACAGTTGTGTCATGTGTAAGCCTGGCCTGAACTGTGGACTTTAATTTTTTAAAATTTATTTTAAGACTTTATTAATTTACGAGGGTGGGGAGGGGCAGAGGAGAAGGGAGAGGGCCAAGAGGACTCCAGGCTGAGTGCAGAGCCTGATTTGGGGCTTGATTCCATAATCCTGAGATCATGACCTGAACCAAAAACAAGAGTCAGACACTTAACCAACTGAGTTACCCAGGTGCCCCTGAACTGCCCAACTGCCCCTGAACTGGGACTTTTAGATTGCATGCTAGACTATGTCACAATCAGATATAAAACATTAGACCTTAAACAAAATAAGGATTACACAGCTTTATTCAATGAATGTGGTAAATCTAAATAATTTTTTGGTCTAAGCACTGAGCCTAAGGTGAGCCCCAATTTCCACACAGGAGAATGAGGCCTGTATGCCTAAGCATATTGCCTAGGGTAGAGGACCAGTACAGTATATGGCAACACTGGGATGGAACCCAAGTCTGACCCTACAGAGCTCGGGGGTCTAGCATGAGAAGGGAATTATACGTAATACGTTATCTTATGTGCACATTACACCTTATCTGTTCCACTGGTGATGGACATTTGGATTAACTCTAGTTTTTGGCTACTACAAAGGACATTTACTGAGCACAAGTTCCTGCCCATCTCTTGGAGACCTGTGCATGTGTATGTCTTTCCCCCGTTGCCTCAGTCGGGCAGATCTGCACAGTGGGGGTAATTCAAACTTGTAATTGACTTGTGTTAATCAAAAATTATGACTGAGTATGTGTGCCCCATTCAAACACTTCTCATCTGTTCCCTTACAAGTTTAAATCTCAAGTTGAAAACTAAGAGAGAAATTCAAAGTAATTCAGAGTGACTGTTCCTTCATATAACTCTCACTTCCAGATGATCTTATTTTCTTTCTCTTTCTTTGAAAAGAAAAATTTTGGGAAGCTACTTTAATAGCTTATCTAGCCAAGAGATAAATTTTCAGAGAATGACTGGCATGCATGATATTATCTCTAGAAACGGTGCTGGCATTTTTACAGGAGACTCCAATAGCAAGTAAGGAAATTGTCAATAAAGAAGTATGATTTTCCTTCCCGTATCCTGTGAGTTTCTTCAACGTTAATCTAAATATTTAAAAATAAATTTGAAGGCTCTTTGAGAATGATTATCCTAAAATCATTTTTGGAAATAAAGAAGCATAAAAATTTGTCACATTCCTTACAAAAAAGAGTTGAACAAACTCAACATTTTTCTTCTTCCTTTTTTTCTTCTACCTTTCTTTTCTTCTTCATCCCTCCCTTTTGCTCCTGTCTTTGCTTTTTACTTTATCCTCACAAGAAGTTAGCACACGAAAACACCAGTGTGAAATATCAACTATACAAAGTAATAAAAAACAACTTAATTTAAAATCCGGATTGGAGTTTGAATTTACCGTGCACCAGAGAAATAAGTGGAGTGAAAAAGTAACAATATGCCAAAAAAAATTTACATAGCTGGCTACTCATATTGATTTCAATACAAGTCCCTGGTAAACAATAAAGCTAATTTCATTCACACCATTTGCAGAGGAAAACAAAGAGTCTGAACAGGTAACAGCTGTATAGAGCACAAAAGTGAGAGGCCCTTTAAATTGAAATGTAGAAGAGCGTGTTCTTTCAAAAGGCATTAACACATTGCCCTAATAGTGGAGGTAAATGTGGAGCTGCAAATAATTTCTTTTTGCAGCCCTGAATGTTCACTTAGTCTACTTGATTATAATTTTTTAATACTAGAATTTTGTCAGTTTTATTGCACATTAATAATATATATTCACTCTCTGCTTAAAATTTAAGTGTTCTAACATTTCCAACATTTCCAAAAATATTTTCTATTAAACTTATAATAAGCAAGATAATTATTTGAAAAATTATTGATAATGCACACTTAGAATGCTCTCTTTACTACAGACGGCTCCTCTGTGCCACCATTTACTGGAAAATGCTAATAGACTCTAAGAGACAAGTCCTGCTTCTGACTGTGTAAATGTGCTGAAATATTAGTGAGGATATGATTTTTCACACTCTGGCCTTTTGATGAAACGCCTTCCCAATACCAGTGTGTCATCTTATCCTACAATTTCACACATCAGCTGCCAGGGCATCTACCCGAGAGCCCGGTTTCACATTGCACTAATGAGTCAACACCTGTTAAGAGTGGAGAAATCTGAACCTTGTTAGCGATTGTGAAGCCTCCTGGGAGTTTGGATGCTGAGCATTGTCATACTCACCGCCGGCGTGTCTGTACTGAGGACCCTGGCAGCGGCTGTGATGAAGTCCCCCACCAACATTGAGAAGCCAGGCAAACCCAGGGAGAAGAAACGGGGTGGACAGTGCCTTATAATGGTGTTTAAGATATCCTAAAAGGGAAGATAAGAAAACACAACTGTAATTTTCAACAATGTAGTCAGCTCGTTTGTACGTATAGCCACTGTATGGTAATCTGAGAGAACACAGGTCACATAAATTTTTCAGTAAAAGGGGTACTGGGAGATGAGTTGGTCCAAGGCCTATTGTACCCACTCTACAGGTAAGAGAACAGACACTAAGTTGTAAGATTACATGCCCAAAATCTAAGACATAGCATTGGGACTACACACTCCTTCTGTTTTCCACCTAAAGGTGAGCTCCTCAGACAAGCTACAGGAGTGTTTAGGCAGATAAACAAAGCCTACAAACATCTATCACTTCAGTATTTTTCAATTTTCAAAAGTTAAAGCACACTAATACATTAAAAAGTCTTCAAGTAGGCAAAGAGCTGGAAATTTTCATTCTTTAGATAACTCTGTGTAAAAACAATGGGATTGGAGTAAGATCAGAGTCTAAGCTCAGGGAGCTGGTGTGGCTCTGGGTACAAGTGTGACTGTGAGGTCAAAGTGCAAATATGGCAGTTGCCTTTTACATGGCTGCAGCACGAAGACCACTGACTGCCTAGACACCTGGTGTTGCTGTGTCTGGAATGGCCCATCCTTGGTGGGTGGCAGGCCAGCCCCTGGCCACCAGCTCTGCTATGAGGCAGCCACCATGTTCCACCCTGTGGCAAAGCAGGGCTCCATTACTGGACAGCGTTCTGCCACCCACAGCCAGGACACATCTCCACAGCCATCTGTGCAAGTGTGTGTGTGCATGGGGGATTAGTCACAATACCACAAACTTCTTTTATGCAGTTCTAGGCCATGCACGTTAATCAAACATACTGAAGTACTAGACTTTATGTGTTTTGTAGTTATTCAACCTACAGTTAGTCGCAAAATACAAAAAAAAAAAAATCTGGTTTCTTTTCTCAGATTTCAGTGTGGCTATTTAAGAAACCCTTTAAAATAATCCTGGTTTAATTTGATTAAGTTAGAGCAAAGCAGTAGCAACATGCTAAATGATAACACGTTAAAACCTTTTAACAAAGGACTTTGGACAAAAATAACCTCATTTTGCAACCTGCAGTCTTGAAAGAGAATTTTTATGTGTTCACAATGCATTATTTTTCCAAGACTTATTTTTTCCCTTACATAGTGGATTCATTTAGTTTCTATAAATTGTGCCATTTATATCCTTAAATGACTGTACAGTGCTTACTCTTTTATTATTTTATTTTTAATAAACATATAATGTATTTTTATCCCCAGGGGTACATGGTCAGTAGTTTAGCAAGTACTAATTTAAAGTTTTAGCATTTCAGCAGAATTTGCCCTATACCAACAATAAACAGATAAATAGGCAGATAAAGGAAGGAAGGAAAGTAGGAACGAAAAAAAAAAAAAAACCTGAACCACACTTCTCCTAAGTTAATATTTAATCCTGCTTTAATCACGTCCTTTGATACACTTTAGGGTCCATATCAGCCAAAGTAAACATTGTAAGGGGCTCAGCAGATGGATGCTGCAGTTTAGAAAGTGTGTAGTAAACTCATGCTCCAAGAGTGGAACAAAAGATCCACCTTTTTCATAATTAAGCCTCTGATTAATGCCCTGGGCTCCTCACCACACACCTGTAATTACTCACAGAGGTACGCATTGTGCTGGGCCTTGTCTCGGAATATCAGGCATCAAGCTACCCAGCAGCAGATGGGAGCACATTTCTGTTGACATATGCTGCAGTGAAAGGATTCATGCAAACCTGGCCAGCAAGGTAGCAGAATGCCATGCATCTGAAGATTAATAATGCAAACCACCATGATGTTAACTTTGTTATGTGTGTGCTAATTCCATCTGTTGAGAGGAGGAACTAAGCTTTGAATCCTGTCAATGTTTAAAAATCTTAGGCACACTACTTAAATAAGCCATTTTCACCACTGGAATTTAGAGTTTTAACTTTTAAAAAATGCTTTTCTGGGACAAGTTTGTGGGAATTACGAACTGAATCCTTTAACAAGCTAAGGCCAGATCTGTACATGAAATCCATTTTGCTTCGTAAGATTTATATTTATAAAGGTAATGCCCTGTAAAGGGAGCATTCACAAAAAATTACTAAGTTGCCATTGATGCTAAAGACAGCAGAAATGGTTGGAGCTGAGATAAAGTCACATGGCTCCCCAACCCCTGGATCCGGGCCAGTCACTTCAACGGAACCTGTTTCTATGGGCAAGAAGATTGGAAAGAGAGGGCAAAATAACAGATGGCTAGCCTACCCTACCCTGCCACCCACGTAAAACAGAGCCCCGAGGAGAAGCGGGGCCTGGGTAGCTGTCGCCAGTTAAAGGCAGCACTGGGGTAGGGGTAATGTGGGAGTCAAAGAGGGAACTATAAGGCCAGTCAGCCAAATTATAGCCATATGCCTACTTATTTTGCTTATCCACACTGAAATGGGACAACCCAAAGATTCTATCTTTGTGATAACATGTTAAAATTAGGAATAATTGTGTGGTACTCAAAAGAGAGCCATGCATATTTCCCAACAGAGGGATATCCACCAAGGGTTCCGCTCATTTCTAGGAGAATCTTTCTTTCACCCTCCTCTCCAAATGGTAAAATCACAGCTACCACTGGAATCACTGGAAAATAAAAATCTGGAGACTTTGAAACTTCCTACACTGTCTCCAGAGCTTCACGTATAGATGGAATAGGACAGTGCTTCCCAAATGTTAATTATTCATGTATGACCTCACACCTTTTGCCATATCCATGTCCAAAGCAAGCATTATCTGCCTGTTTTTGAAAGCAAGTCACTTTTTTTTTCTTTTTAACTTAAGTAAGATTATTCTGGAAAACCAGTATTCTGTATCACAAATAGAAAATAACCCTTGTGTCAATACAATAAGAGTAAGCCAAGGCTACTGCATTTTTTTAAATAGCATGGCCTGAAAGAGGCTCCCCTTTATTTACTTATTTATTTGAGAGAGAGCACAAGCAGGGGTAACAGTAGAGGGAGAGGGAGAGGGAGAAGCAGGCTCCCTGCTGAGCAAGGAGCTGGATATGGGGCTTGATCCCAGCACCCTGGGATCATGACCTGAGCCTAAGACAGATGCGGGACTAACGGAGCCACCCAGGCATCCCGAGGCTCCCCTTGTTATGAAGGGTGGCTTTATCCTCAGGGTGGTGTAGGAGTTCTTTACCTACTCCAATGGGCCTACCTGAGAGAGTTGCAGGGACTGGTGGAGGTGAGGAAAGGGGTCATCGTTCTTACTGGGTGACTAGATGCTGTTTAGTGAAACCTCCATTGTGATCACGGTTTGGAAATGCCCCTGTATTTAAACCCTGGCGTGATGAAAAGAGCTCTGGGGCTGGGCTGCAAGGTTTAGGTTCAAGGCCTAGTGTATGTGACTGTGGGCAGATCTTGTCATGCCTAAGGCTTCATGTTTCTCTTCCATTAAAGTTGGATACGAGTCATATCTAATGGTATAGATGTGAACACATGTCTTTCTAAACTGGAAAGGGCCATACAAAAATAAACAGAACAACAAACTTTCTTCAAAAAGGGAAAGACTCTGAAGGATTTTACTCTCTAGAATTTACTTTGTAGGTTTACTTTGTAGAATTCGGTGGACTATTATTTTGCTGATATTCAGAAAGAGCAAAAGATTTCAAAGGTGGCACAAATAAACCTCTCAGATTACATTGTCCCAGATATCAAAAAACTCTTGAAATTAATGCTCTCAAATAACATTCTTAGCAAAGCATTCTAGCCATTAGCTATAATATATATATCATTTCTAAGGCAAATAATAAAATAAAATCAGGAAAATGATATGTTTAGATTTTCTAGCTTTCATTCTTCTAAGGAGTTCTAGAATTTACCTGAAACAAGTGAGTCAGAGAGCAAAAATTAGCTTCTTTTACCATACTCTTGACAGACTAAAAACATTAAGCTAAACAATAAGTCCAATGAAAAATGGACTCTAAAACAGGAATCAAGTTTATTCTTGAAAATTGACCAGTATGAGGCACAAACAAAACTCTTCCACACGTTTTTGTTCAAAGGAAATAAAATTCACTCAGCAAAATGCTGACATATAGCAAAGAGACCACCAAAGTAGTATTTTTGTCCTGTTTTTGATTAAAAGTCCACATGCATGCTACACATTGAGTGTGAAAGTGGATTGTATGATGATAACTGCGAATTTGCAGCTTATCAAAAGATTCTGGCTTATGAGAAAGTAACTGGTGAGAACATCTGTCTCTTATCACTGATCTTACAAAAAAATCAGGTAATTCAAATAGAGGCATGTTGTTTCCTCTCCTCCAAAGCACCGTTCTATAAACACGAACTGCATTCAGTCTGGTAAATGAATCGCTTTAATTGAATGCTATGTACACAGTAACTGGAAAAACCATAAGTGATAAGAAAAACATATGGTGATGGCAACAGAAATTGGTTTATTCATTTTGCATAGTGTTGTTTCTTTAGTTCTCTTATAATTGACCTTTAGAACGATAAATGTGTAAAATAATTTTGTTTATTATGGCTCCAAACCTTCTAACAATTACACAAAATGAAAATTTAAAAGGAAGGATTCATTCTGGAAGCATTTCCATTGTTTACATAATTGCACAGCTATAATTTAGTGCTCGTGTTGTTATGGAAAATAAAAAAAGGGCCATTACAGGCCATTTCAATTCAAAATATTGCACAGTGGTGTCAAAAATGGGGGAAAATGTTCACTTTAAAGCAGTTTAAAATGGATTAACCCTGTAAACAAAAACATTTCAATATAGTATTCTATGAAACACAAATGTTCAAGAAGTAGCCATCGTTCAAACGGAATTAGAAATGTTGCAACTGTACTTTCACACCAATTACATATATATTATTCACTTAATATTTGCTCAGGGCCCAGCAGATGATGGTTGTAACACGATAGCTGACCATCTGTCTCCCCGCCTTTCCTTAGTGGACTCGCGCCTGCTCCTCAGGAGCAAACAGATCC